ATTTTTGAAACTTTCAAATAGAAAATCTTGGAGAAGTTTCATAGTATGTTGATTCAATTTGGTTTATCATTTGAATTTGGAGCTAAAATTGTGAATATTGCAATGTATTTGGAAAATCTTTTCCTTCTAGTGTTATCAATCTCTTGATAATGTTTGTGTTCAGTCACAAACAGATGTCTGATTATAGTTATTTGGTTGTGCGGATCATACTTTCATACTTAAGTATATTATGACAAAGTTAGAACTTATATTCAAGAAGTATTGTTTTCTTGGAATTTTTAAAATTGCTAATGGTATGAAGGATTAAAGTTCATATTCACCGGTAGTATGTAAAATTAATTATCAATAGGGATGTTTTTTTCAACAAGCTCAAATCATTGAAAAAAAAAGTGAATTCTACAGCTACCTGTATTGAGAAGGAAAAATCTTCATTCACTCATGTTATTGAAAAACGATTAGTCATCTTATGACTAATGATGTGACATAAGAAAAATCTCAAGTATATATAAAACAAATTTTTGAATAGCAAGAATTAGATAGCAGGTTATTCTTGATAAGCCTCAAGTATCTGCACAAGATGATAGAAATCAACTAGGTACTTTTACTAGAATATCATCGAATTGGATTAGTAGAGCTCATGCAAGATATAGATTATGGGCTGATTCATCCATTCTTGAAGATTGTGATAAAGAGTATGATGATGACATTGCATTGATCTTTTCAAAAAGAATTTTTTTTCCATAAAGAAGCTCAAACATCTGCTCTTTAAAGTTGAATGAAATGTTACTATGGATAGTGGTATGCACTCGTTGATGTATAACAAGATCTAAGAGCTAGTGAATCTACCAATAAATAAAGCATTGATTGATTGCAAGTGAGTGTATAAAATGAAAAGAAATCAAGTTGATAACAAAAAAAGTATCTTCAAAACAAGATTGATGGCTAGAATTTTCACACAATAAAAAAGTGTGAACTACAATAATTTTTTTTGACCTATAACAATGTATCATACCATTGTTGCAATATATAATCTTGTTATGGATCAAATGATCGTAGTTATAATAGTTTTCTATAGATCTCAAAATAAATACATTTACATGGCACAACCAACTCGCTTTGAAAAAAAAGTTTAAGAAAAGTTGGTTTGTAGATTGCTTAGATTGTTATAAGTATTGAAGCAAGTTCATAGAAAGAGTAATGCAAGATTTGATGAGTTCATTAAAGCACAAGATTTTTCACGGAGTGAATATGATTCTTGTGTGTACATAAAAAGTTGAATGATTGCATCTTCAATCTTATTATTCTATTTTTTTTTTGGATAACATGCTCATCTTGACAAAGATCCAATCCAATGTTGATAAATGCAAAAACTAGTTGTAGTCTACAATCAAGAGGAAAAATTTGAATGAGTCAAGAGTGGAATATGATGAAGATTCATAAAGATTTGATGAAAAAGATATTATGTTTGAATAAGTACAAATTTATCCAATGTAAAATTGACAAGTTCAACATGGTCAACTCTAAAGTAGTATGGTATCCTTTGGTAGTGCATTCCAAACATTCTGAAACTAAATGTCTAATCGATGTTAACCAAAAAAATAAAATGTCATGTGTTCTTTATGACAAAGATGTGAGCAGCCTCATGTATTTGATAGTGTACACAAGACTTGATATTGCTCTAGCTATAGGCAAGGTGAACAGGTTTATGTCAAATCCAGACAACGTTAAATAGGAAGCAGTGAAATGGATTTTAAGGTGTTTGAAGAGTATTAAGTATTATTTTTTATTGTACGATAATATATTAGACAATTCTAAATCCTTGATAGACTACGTTGATGTTGATTATAAAAAAATCAACATTATACAATAGGCTATATGTTTACACTTGGTGGTGGATGCTTTAGTTGGATATCTACCTTGAAGAAGTGCATAGCTCAGTTTACAACGGAAGCTAAGTATATAGCTGCAACAAAAAAACAAAGGAAGCTATTTGGTTAGATAAACTTATCACTTATATGGAATTGAAGTGGGATGATGAATCTTCATTGTGATAGTTAGAGTACTTTACATCTTGTTGCAATTCAAATTATGAACAATGTAAAGAAGCATATTGACATTAGATTTCACTTTATCAGACATCTAGCATCTAGTAGAATGACTGAGTTAGTCAAGATTGATAGTAAATTCAATCTACTTCATGCGTTGATCAAAGTTACTCATTTGGAGAATTTAAGGTACATTGTGTTACTATGCAAAATTTGCATGAAAAGCACTAGTAGAGTTTACTAGCATTTTAGTTGTCTCTATATATTTTTAATTCTATTTTGTTTTAGCTCTGGTTGAAAGATGGTATTTTTGTTAGGTTTTTTCTAGTACTTTCCACAAACTAATTATAAAAATTTAGTAGTTTATTTGAACATGAGTCAAGGGAGAGATTGTTAGGATTATCTCTTGTTTCAAGTTAGTTCTAGGGTTAGACCAACAACTATATATACAACAACTATATATACAATCGGACGAGACACGTATCGCCTTGAATGCTAAAACGATAGAATGGTTGTGTTGATTCTTGGAGTAAATAACTGGTTGTTTCCGTGGATATAATCCAAGTTTGGATGAACCACGTATTTTCTTGTGTCGTCTTGTCTTGTGTGTTAGTATTCTTGGTGCTTCTTGTTGCATTTTTTGGATTTTTCTAGTAACATATTTGAAATCTTCAAAGCTCTCAAACCTCCATTTGACACAAAGTAAATTTCGACTTAGTTTAACGAATGATATTTTCATTCCTTAGACAAACCAATCAAACATGTAGTCAAAATATTCTCTCCTTGGAATCTAGACTTTAATAGAAGAAAAAATAGAAATGCTCACTTCTAGAGCTACTCTAATTATTTTGCCAAGTATAAAAATTATAGTTAATTTTAATCATAACTAGCTAGACTTAGTTTTGACTAAGATAATCATGATTAACTCATTGTTTATTTTTATTCATACTTCACACATATAACAATCGATTTTACACTAGTATCTTAAAAAGATAATGATTACTGTATACTTAAGGTAGAGAGCAAGGTCTCATCGCCTTCAACAATTGTAAATTGTTTCCGTGAGTTACGTGATTATTTTCTTCTCATGTGATCGTCTGACTTTCTCAAGTATCCCCCTACAAATTTGAAAAAATAAAAATTATGTACATGATGTCATACGTATTGAATTCAAATTGATACGAAGTAAACATGGTAAATTTCTTTCACTTGTACATTTTGTATTTATGTTTGAAGATGAAGTTTTGATGCGTTGAAACGCAAAACTAATCTTCATTATAAATTTACAGGTTTATCAAAGCTTACGCTACAAGTCGGTGAAAGTGCAAAAAACTGCTCCAATTATTCTCATCCCTTAAGCCATGACTCAAATATTTGAATACTCTGCATTTAACTTGTTCCAAATGATCAGTTACTAATGTAACTGCAGAAATATCATAATATGCTATTTGGAGGTTAGAGGTGAGTAGGTTAGGCAGGCAACCTGTGAGTAATATGTCATTAAATGGAAAAGGGGGACATTGTATGACACTTGTGCATCTCTTTAGGTAAGAGTCTAAGGAATCAACTCAACCGAGCTGACTACCGCATGTTCAGTCGGTCTCTTCTAATATCCCATGTAAGAAAAGAGAGACAAGGAGTAGGGCGGCTCAAGGTGTATTGGTGGGGAGGGAATGCCAGTGGAAGAGGAGAAGTTGGGTCTGGTTATCCGAACTATCCCAAAAGTGTAAGAGTGACCATGTTCCTCAAGTTTAATTAGACAACAGACTGAGTAAACTTGCTTCATTTATAATATCTCGGTATATATAAATCCACTTGCTACAATAACATGCTTCACTTTTTGACCTAAAGATTAGCTTGCTACCAATAATTCCAATAAGTTATTGTCTCTAAACACATCACATGATCCCACATTTGATTTTTTGTTGTGTACAACATATCTAAACAAGCCGATATGTACACATATAGACAGACGTATAGCCTATCTTCTGACATGTCTGCTGGTGTAAATAGAGCCTTTCACATACATTTTCTCTCAACTCTACGATCCATTGGGAAAATATTCGATCTGACGACTTCAGTCGATTGACAGAGGATCTCAAACTCTCATCTGTACATTGACCCTGAGACCTTCGGTGTTGGGAGATGTCTTCAGTCTTGAAATCAATGGGACTATATCACATCTCAGCCTTGGGCAGTTTTTTCCTTATGGGAGAAATGTTATATAGTGCTGCAGTGGCCCCTCATTACAAGAAACCGGTGTACTTTACACCCATTAACTATCCTTAGTATCAATAAAAAATAGCTGTACACCTTTGAAAGGTTTGGCCCTTCGTTTGTGCACCTCTATTTATACAGTATCGGAGACTTTTGCCCACAGTTCGAAATGTTATGCCAGTTTCAACTTAGACGAAATAGCATTCAGCACTCCTTTTCCATTCAGGAGTTCAAGAGAGTAGGCCTATATGGTTGGTACTGACGGTCGTGGGTTGTACGTACAGAAATTCACTGTAAGTGCATTGTGAAGAGGCGTCTTTATCTGGGTTTAGTGTGGTTTCTAAATTTGACTTATGCTTATGGTTTTGACCTCTTCAATTTTTCTTATATTGGCATCTTGTGTGTGTTGCAAAATTGAGTATAGGCACTCCATACGGGAATGAATACATAGTTATATGTATATATTTAGTTTAAAACTACTGATTTAGCTGATTCTGTCTCTCTTCTTTTCTTCTCTTTTCTTCTCAAACAACCACGTTTAGGAACAGAGCTTTTCCCGCTCCAACAAGCAGTTTCCAACATTATATTGGCTTGGCTTCAAGGGATCCATCTCACATTCCGGCTACTCTCTAAACTGTGCCGAGGCCGGGCCTCGAAGGGTCTGTTTTGGTTGTATACAGGAAGTTATTGTGTCTAACATTCACAGTGCTCTTGTATGTAAAACGTTTCCATGGAACACTCGAGAAAACGGACACATAGATCTGAGTAAATGTAGCATCCAAATCTACAATACCCATCAATGGGCCATGGTACAAAGTGTGCACATACATTACCATCCTAAGGCCAAGCCAAGGGGACTACACATTGAGGTCCCTACAAGTCTACTGAAAATCAGATCTACTGTAGGTGTTAAATCATCTAAACGCTACTCTCCAACTCCTACTTAACTCCAACGTGGACAAGCTTGGAAAATTGAGGCATACGACCTCATACATTAGCTCGTCTACATACATCATACAGTTACTGAAAATTGACATCTGAAGGAGATCCCTACAAAATGCTACTATGACGCCTTTGCCGTTTACCGTTCAACAACTCGAATGGCTGAGGGGTCCACTTCATGTGCAAAAATAGTTTTCCTGATGACACTCCGTCAAGCTTGAACTCTGCGTTATACTCTCCCATGTAGATGGTCTTTGTCAAGGTCGTGGCACATTTCCCCAAAAAGTCCTGTCACAGTTCAAGCAATTAATTTTTCTTGCGTTTAACTTCCGCTCAAGTATCAACCTCTATTCTATTTATAAGTAGATATATTTGACGTATTCAGCAGATACAATGTTCGCCCTCTCAAGGAAAACTTGAATATCAGACGTACGCTAGCAAAGCTCAAAGCAAACGTTTGTCTTAGTCTTTGTGTTAACAGACTAATGCTGAAGACTTAGAGATCAAATTTTGGGTCAGAGGATAGTTATGCACAAACACATCTTCTTTGAATCAACAAACTTTGGCTTCAGACTGAATTTCTATCCTTGCGTTTAATACAAGAGAAGAGACTCGAACTATATAGACGTACATACCTTCTTGAAAGTGTCGTGATCCCAGACTTTAATATGAAGCATGTCATGAATAGCATCTTCCACAAGGAAATCCAAGGTTTGATTCCATTCTGGATTTAAAGTTTTGTAGATTACCTGCATCCATTTGTTTCATAGTTAGCTATGTGTGATACACATGTATCTCAGATTATAACAAACGGCAGGACATGATTCTACTACCGCGTTCATGTTTCTCTGTTCCAGGTGAGCAAAACCAAGCAAAGCCCCCAGGGCAAGTTTCCAACTCATGATGAAACAAGAAATAAATAACGGCAACACACTTACTTTCGTTTGTTTCTTGATCCGACTTTTTCTCATCTTCAAGGTCACAAAAGGATCACTTAATCCATTCATGTCTGCAGAAATAAGATTCTCTCCACGCAGCACCGTCACCGAGAGTACCCCTCGGACTACTTCCCACATTTGGCCCTTGAAAGAGAAATCGGGATTCAATGGTGGTCCCCTGTTTAATCTTAGCGACTCAATGAAATTTAGGTTCTCTTCGTCGGGGAATGGGTCGTAAGTTGGAGGAATGGCAGGATCATCTGAGGTACTGATTGGGTCAACGGATGTACTGGCAAGATTCTCTGGTGCCACCTCAGGATTCCACATAGCTGGAAACTTTTGGTTGTAAGGTCGATACAGAAGTTCCAAGTTGACCTGGAAATTCACAATTGGACTATATGTTAGCAGAGTTAAATAGCGGACGATTTTTTGGTAAAAACTGATAACTTAATATCTACCCTGGCTTTACTGGGAAACCTTAAAGCAAGACTGATAATTAAGTTTGATCGCGATAAGGCAGGAAAGGACAGGCAGACGACGAACCTTTCCTCTTCTCCAGCAGTACTTAATTCATACATGAACACAAACTCAAACCATTTGACTGACTAGATCCTGGCTGGTTAATGGAAGGGGGAAGAAGGAAGTCTCAATTTGCAAAAAGTTGCTCATCAAGAAAGTAATGTCAATTCCGAAATGAACAAGATGGCACTTGAGACACAGAAGAAATATTGAAGGACATAAAAAGACTGCAATAGAACTCGAGTCAGCTTAGTCAGAAGCAATGACATATTGAAGTCGTATTCAGCTGGACTTTTCATACCTCTCCCCGATATTTTCCCTCATTTGGCTTTTCAAGATTTCTGACAAGATTGATCCACTTTTCCGTGAGAACGCCAGGTTCCAAGTCTCTCAGAAGCACTTGGGCACACCCAAGCAACTCTTCTTCGTGCTCACGGTCCTCGTCAAAGACTTTTATAGTTAGCTTCTGTGTTTCTTGCTCCTCAACCTCAAACTCATAGATCTCGTTCCAAATGGGGCTCAAGTCACCGTTCTGATGAACAAGAGCATCATTCATCAATTACACTAGAAGATGTGAATTTCATGCTGTTCCCACAATGGTTAATACTCGGTAAGAAGGTAACACCTTTTTGTCTGAATCGAGACCAAAGTGTCAACCTACTAGAGCGGCAAATCATTACTCAGTGATGAGCACAAACAGTAACTGCAAGAAGGTGCAGGGCGTACATGTAACCCTTACTATAGTCTTGCTCCTCTTCATGCGAGCTGGTATTGGCCTGATATAAAGAAGCGCAAATGCATCCGCTTTTGAAACAAGGTCCTTGTTTAGAAGATCCTTAGCCTGGACCAGCTTAACATCCAAAATCCCAGCTGCTGGCAGGAGATCGTTGTGCGTGAAATTGGCACCACCCCTCCGAGGATACATATGTTGCTGCAGTCTGATGTGCTTCAACAGGGTATCCAGGTCCCACGAACAATCGAGTAAAATATTACGAACATCAAAGTACAAGTAAGATTTAGTATAATTTTCCAAGTACTGTACCTAGAGATCCATCACATACATTACAACGTTAACCACATGTAAATTCTTCAGAGGAAACCAAGAAGATTATGAGCTTGCACTCTCTTCGAATATCTTGGCTCCACGACTAGGACGTGAGAAAAGCTTTTGATAGTTTTTGGGCTGAACTATGCCTGAAAGATGAAAACACAAGGAATAGATAGGGCTAAGACTGCGCTGCCTCCTAGCCCCATGGGATCGTCATTTCACTGAAAAAATGGCATCATGAAGTAAGATGATGCATACCTCGCGTTATCACCCTCTAAGGGGCTGGGTAAAATTATCACTGGGATACGCATTGGCCACATCAAGCAATCAAGAACTGTTGCTCGGATCGTTTCCTGCACAATCGAGATAGTAGTAAACAGTAATGAAAAGCTTGCTAGAGTAGCAGGAGATTAAGTATGAAACACAAATCTTTCGTGGCCCTGAACGAGCGTATACTGCTAACCACAATTGCAACACTTCCATTCCATATTTATAAAAGACTCGTCTCTACTGCTTAAAAGTTGGGACAGTACAAAGAATCAATCGGAAACTCCAACCAAACAGAGAAGCCGAAAGAGTTATACACATTGCAGGTGTATCTGCATGGTAAGCCTCGTGAATTCCCATTTGGAATTTAAAACCAAACTTAAGTGCCCACTAAGAGTTGGAGTTTCCTTAGATTGTTCAGCACGTATGGAAACCGGAGGTTCGTATAACAGGAAAGGCGTCAAAGAAAACTTCATCCTTGTCTTTTCTGGAATCTACTAAGACGAAAACTTCCACTTTGCTTCAAGTAAAATTCCGTCTCTTTGAAAAATTTCGTGTACTTCAGAGTTCCAAATCGAGACAGCAGTAATTACCTCAACCGTACCGGCCAAACCGGGAAAACTGCCTATGTCACCTCCAATCACCTTCAATCTGAAGTCAAACCTTTTCTGGCAGTCATTGACGACAGAAGTATCAGTCAGGGTCATGTTTTTCTGGCACATCCATTCGGTCCCGAGGATACTCCAGTTTGTGAAAAATAGATTTCTGTTCAGGTAAACGAATTTCGGGCATATAAAGAAGTATTATAATTGTGAATAAAATCACAGGCATCTGATAACATCGTACAGTGACACACCAAAAAACGAAGATTTTCTTAATGATTCCAACAAATGTTGTTTCTTCTCAGAATTCACTCACTGTAGAGTTCCAAAGATCATTACGACATCGAGACAGGACATCAGATGCACATGACGCCTACCTTAGAAGGACTGAATTGGCCACCAAACACAATCATCTACTACCTTTTTCTTTATTGAGTACGTGAATGCAGCAAAGCCTGGCAACTCCTCCACAAGTGGTCGAAAGATCAGCCTCATCACCATAACTAGACTGACATCCTTAACCTGAAAGTCAGTGGAACAGAACATGGTATAAAGCTCCTTGAAGCTAACTAAATGTGCCTAGCATAAGTCGACATGAAAGAGATGAAGATCGAGAAGTAGCACTATGCAATTGCTTCAGTTCCCAGCACACATTATGAATACATAGCGTGTACTGGGCAAACACGAATTTTAGTTGGATAGCTCTTGTGTGTATTTAGGCCCCAAAACAGATGAAAAAAATGGCGCCTACAATTCAAACCTAAACGTATCAACCTAAAGCTCCGGTTAGTTATGGTACACATGTCCATTGCCAGATCTTTTAACTGCTTATGGACATGATGATCGCTTAACACATTCCACGTACATGAAAAAAACTCGAACGGGAAGTTAGCGACAGCACCGCCTTAAAGTTACATCCTTGAAGAAGAAACAAATTAAAAGCCATCAATAAGAGACTATCACCACAGCTTGACAAGCCTGGTTACCTGTATTGGAAATGTGAGACCCATCAAGGTCCGGACTTTCAGAATAATGCTGGGGTTACCTTGCCAAACGCACTCAGCATCCATCGCAATCTCATCAGGAGTAGAATGGGCTATACGAAGACCTGCCAGCATAAAGTGAGCACATGTAAATGAAAAAGATGGCAACAAACGAAAACATCGAACGTTTATGAATACATCTTCATCTTCTACCTTTAGATAATTAATAAACAATGACTGACCTTAAAAATTGCAGAATAAACTATCACAAAATTGTAGACGAAAGCCTTCTAACTTTGATAATTTAAGGTTCGCTTTTAGTTGATCAATCAATGCTCTCAGATTGCGATACTGAAAAGTACATAATCCACGTCTGTCGATGGGAGTAACAATGTCAAAGTTGGAAGTGACTTCAAATACAACTGAGGCAAAAGAAATATCGCGTGCTTCCACAATAGGTGTGTCTAGGGCATCGGCATTCAAGGGATGTTTCTCTTTACCAGTGCAACACACCTTGGATACTAGGAGCAATGGTTCCAATGGTGAACTTCTGGAACGTGAGCGCGGTGATAGTTGAAGGCCTGTATTGATCAATGAAAGGTTCCCAAACCTCCTTCATCACAATAGAAGTTGCCTGTGTACTTTTATATGATCAGTACAAAAACAGCAGTACTAACGTGTACTTACAACTAACTATTTCCTGGTCACTTTCCAGTTTAAATCGACTTTGTCTGAAATGGCCAGCGTAGGGCAGGTAAATATTATCACTCGATGACCCAAAAAAGTTCAAATGTCTTCGGTATACAAGATAGGAACAAAGTCACTCTATTCACTTGCTCTTTCTAGCAGACATCTGAAACTTCTACGAGGGGTTAAGAAAGGACCTGTTAGCTTTTGTAGCATTAACAGTATTACGTTTGAAACCTTACAGACAGGCCCTAGGAGAGTGATGTGAATCTATGTTTCATTGAATAAGATCAAAAGACGAAGAAAGCATCATAAGTACCTTGCTGAAAAGCGGCCATATTTTCTTCAAATACATGTTGATCCAATTTACCTATTGCAACAGACAGTTAGAATCGAAAATTTTAAGATCCACTAACTCTTGCGTTCGAAACCAGGTCTACTTTGAAAAGAGGGAGATGTGCTCCGCATTTATCAGGATAGCAATATAATGCAGTTTACCTTCTCGTACTTCCCAATGACCAGCCACAACGGAATGTCGTCTTGAGGGAAAAGCTTGCGAAGGTCGTTCAGAGACATTTGTGACAATGCTGCTACGTGAATAGCCTGCGTCAGATATGGAGAAGAAGACGAGGAGTTCATACCAGGAATGGTAATGCATTTCATACTTAAAGAACAAATCTATGAAACTCTACAATCCGATCCATCAGAGTTATAAAGCGTGGCTTCCCGACGAGTGTTAATATCTTGAATTCGAAAAGCATACTGAAAGCATTTGAGATCATCAAGCATCCCGATGTATTATTTTTTCAAAAATAATACATTCCAACCATGAAGATCGTTGACAGCAAAACTGGATTCCTGATTAATTTACAAGAAACAAGAGGAGAAGAAGTTTACACCTTCTCCTGCCGTTGTCGAGCACGCTGTCGCTGCCAGTGGACGAGAGCCAACATGAATCCCAGCCCAAGGACCATGCCATAGGCCAATCCAACGAATAGTTCCACTGCCAGAATCCTGTAATACTCCAAAAGTTCCGCAGGGCCTGCACAGATGCAAAAAACGCTGTTGATCAACTTTTGAAGGCTGTAACTTGTCTGAGACAAACCTAATTAGCGACACGAGGGATACGGGATGACTTCAAGAGATTGAAGCTATTCGAAGTGTGCAGATTACCCGTGTAAATGTGTTCTGCTATAGATTGAATAACCATCTCTAGCATAACATTCCAGCTGAGAAAGAAAAATTGTGCAGGAAGGGATGAGTTTCACAGAGCAGGCTGACTAGAATACATGAAATAAGGTTCTCATAATTTACCATGAACACATTCCTAGATAGTCAATAAATTCTCTTAACATGAAATACCCGATCGCCAAACAAGCGTCATCATCATGTTCATTGAGCTCAAGCTATTTATTACGAGGGCAAACAAAGTGGACGTAGACGAAGTCAGAAACAAGTGATATTCTGTATCTCGGGAAAAAAAAATTCACAACGTCGATGTAGGAGACTCAAATGATTAAATCCAAAAAAAAAAATTTGCGTCAGGAAAATATAATAACGTTCAAAACATGGATACTGAAGCTAGACTTCCTCCGGCGCAAAATGTCTCGTGGTTTTGGGCTGTTTCTCTCCACGGGCAGGAACTACAGAGCCCAGTAAAATCGGAAGTCACAAGCGGGGAGTACCACAAACGACACATGTAGACAGAGAGACCCACGAATGACCGCACGACAGAGTGGGACGAGAGTTCAGAAACTCCGAATCAACAAGCGCAGGAAGCGAAGTTCCAAGTGGAAAATTAAAACGAAGAAAGGAAGGAAGGAAGAAGAGCGTACTCCATTGTCGGGCCTCGTCCGTGCTCCAGATATTGATGTCGTCCATAATGCACCACGGCCAAACTGCAGACTTGAAGGGCCACATCAGATGGCCAATTTCGAACCCATAGCAGCTTTCGAGTCTCGGACGTCGCGGATGAACACGCCCCCGAGGCCAAGCGAGAAAACGAGAAAATCACAGCGAATCTCGGCCGGGACTCGACGCCACTTCCGCCACGGGAAGACCAGACGGCACCATTTCCGAAGCGGGCCGCAGCCGGAGTTCCACGCACTGTGAGCAATAAAAAATCGAAGCGCAGAACTGCGCTCGCATCGTACCAATCGATGAGCTGCAGCTTCGGACTCCAATCACGGAATGCGAGTCAGAGTCCCAGAGAGCCAGAGACGCAGAGACGTTCAGAGCTCAGAACACTTTCTCCTGCACCTCGTCAGCGCTTCCTTCTCTCCTCGAGTCCTGGAGAGTTTCAAACCTCTGCCGTCCCCCAATCCTCACCCCAGGCGCCTCCACATTCACATGGCTCCGTCCATCCGTCCGTCCGTCCGGCCGGCCGTTTTCGCTCCCGCACGGCCCCATCCAGACCGAAAAGAACCTCTTTTCGGGACCTCCTGTCGGCCCCACCGGAACTTTCGTCTCGTTCAAACTTCCCCGTCCGTATCACGTCGGCGAGCGTCAGCCAGTACATGGCGGGAACGTACTTTTCCCGGTCCCGGGACTTTTCGCTACCGACCGTCTCTCAATTCGCTGCGTGAACCGAAAATTTCGTCCCGTTTCAACCCTCGGCACGAGTTCAAACTGCAGCTGCCCCAACCCAACCCAACGAGCCCCGCCCCGTTCACCTTTCCCGTCCATCGGGGATAAGCATTCCAACCGTTCTGGCATACTCAAATATATTTGTATATTCAAATAATGCGAGACAAGTGGACTATGAAAGGATTGGGCCCCACCACCAACCCCCTTCCCAAATATAGAGACCGCGTCCTTTCCCGCCTGGGGGTAGTTTCAGTGCGTGGAATTATCCGAGATGACTGGATGCGACCCGTTCCCACTGCCTCGCGGCCTTCACCTTCACCTACTACTGCCGGGAAGGACAGCCGACTTCCCGGTGTCGGCCACTTCGTGTGCAGTATTATACAGTATTTGACTCCGCATGCTACGCAGTTGTAGATAGCTGTACGAGTGTCATTCTGCCTGACATGCCTGGATTTCACGTAGACTCTGATTCTCATGCACACTGCGATGACGGCGTGTCAGCTGAAATCTGTTGCTTTAATTCTTCAGCAAGCAAGCAAGGTGTTTGGGGTCGACACAAGTTCCAGAGCAGAGTTTTGTTTCTTATGCAATTCTATGTATTTTATTTTATTTTATTTGAGATAGAGTGTAGGTAAGCAATGTGTTTGGGGTAGACACAAGTTCCAGAGCAGAGTTTTTCTTATTATGCAATTCTATGTTTTTTATTTTATTTGAGATAGAGTGTAGGTTGATGGAGTCTTCGCATCGGTTATCTATCCACTTGGCATCCCCTGGAAGATAAAATGTGGTGAGGCGGAACAAGATATAAGGAACGGTTGGAAGGACAAAGGGCCAGTCTGAGATCCTATTATTTGCGGCTGAACACTGACACTGCCCTCCGGGAAAAGTCGAACGAAAACAGTGGATGATTGTGCAGAGATATGATTGTTTACTTTCGTCCAATTTGGACATGGATGTTGTTTGACCTTTCCTCCAAGGAATACTGATGATGCCTGATCTAGGAAGGTTGGCTATCAACACCGATATGGTGTGTAATCCCATTTGAATTGGATTTATAGCAATACCATCTGCCTCTTTCAGATAAACATTTACCTTACATTATAGGTAATTAATTATATGTATATATATATATATATATATATATATATATATATATCAACCCCACAAAGCCACTTAACATGAAAGCAAAACTCGTATCGCTGTACAAACCAATGGAGGTAATGTATGTAATGTAGAATAATGTATAATGTATAATGTAACGAATAATGTAGAAAATGATCAAATGTAAAGGAAAATATACAGAAGTCCAGCAACTATTCCATTCTATATTCCAAAAATTTGTATATAAGTTTTGGAGTCAGGAAATGTATTAAGGCTTTCTTAAGACATTGTATATTTAAGTTTGGGGCATTACGTATGATACATAAACAATTTGTTTTTGGAATACAATGCCAGTAGTCATACTTCTATCGTGTTATTTTCCTTTCAAAACAGGATTTATATAAGATTTATTCAGGATTCAAAATTCCTGAAATCAGAGAAACTCAGACTTGATAAGAAAAAATAAGAAGACAAAAGATAAGGTGGAAGAGGAAACTCAAGACCTGAAATAAGAAAATGATTGGAAAAAGATTAAAATTAAGAATATGGGAAAAGATTTATAAAAAAAACCCCTGTCTATGAATAATAACGTGGCTAATATAACAACCTAACCTAATATAAGACACTAGCTGTAATATAGAATAATAATTCTCCACGTAAAATTTATGAACTTTAGCGAATGGAAACTCAAGTGACTTCGACCACGGTATATCTTGGAATTAATGCAATTATTGCAACTCCGGATAAATACACACAGCCATGCAGAGCCGAGCAGTCTCGTCCGACGAAGATTGCCAACTTCTCATGAAACCTTTCTAAAACAATCAGGTACCGAATTATGAAGCGATCGATGCATGGAAATTACGGACTCACTTCCAGAAAGTCATCGACATATGGATTTATTCGATCAATGAAAGCATGTACCGATTGAAGACTGAAGCGATCGATGCATGGAAATTACGCTCTCACTTCCCGAAGTGGGTTGATTCGATGCTCGTGTCCTTCGAATGCAAAACAGTTCAAGGGTCGGAATGGGTCGATCGAAGCGCGACGAGCGTTTTGGATTCCGAGAGCCGAAGGAAAGGGGAGTCGAGGCGCAGCGTAACCGTCGCGGGCTGCACGGCCAGGCCCAGGGGGAAGAGGCGAATAAGATCCTCCGTTCTGCAAAGATTCCCTTTCGGATGCTTCACGTGAAGACCACGCCGCCACGTCAGCCAGGGCCTAGGGCACCGCCCGGACTTGAACAAGTGCACGCGCGGGTGACAAAGCCCCCCAACCCCCCCCCCTCTGTCTCTGTCCCGACGAGGAGGACCCAGTGCCGAATTAAGGAAGCTCTCTCTCACACAACAAGCACGTCGCAGGATCCCTCCCTCTGGGACACACAATTTCCTCGTCGACATTGGCCTCCTTCCTTCCTCGACTCGGTTTCTCTTCTCGTCGCTTGCCTCAGACCCGTTTTCGTAGAAATCGAGCGCCTGCCGATTTCCGAAGGCTCTGATTAGAACTCCTGTTTTCTGTTGAAGTGATATTTGTTGAATTGATTTGATTCTTCCCCGTTTTGTAAGGGATCTATTGGGCTTCTCCGAGTACATTTGGCGATTCGCCCCGATTTGCAGCCGTTTGTGGTTGCGAGTTTTGTTTTTTATATCCATTGCAGCTTGGTCCTGTCGCCGCGGGCTCGGGAATGGAGTGAAATTCCGGCCATCGCGGAGGCCAGTCGCTAGGTCTCACGGAGATTGGAGTGCTGTAGGTTTCAGGATTTCTCCAAATTATTAGTGCCGTCGGGTTTCGATTTAGCCTCGTGGACTCTTCGGTGATCTTCGACCATCCTGATCTCAACTTGAGAGTAGCACCAGATTATTAATCCTGCTTCTCTCCTTGCACTTCCTCAATTTCTTTACGCTCAAGAAGCAGTCTGTGCACTGCCTCAGGACCATTCGAGGGCTGTTCCACACTTTTGTTGGCACAGAGAAGGATTTGCGAGTGTCACTCTCTCGCCCCACTTCATCCTGGGCCGTTGTAAATCCCCTTTTGAACCCCGAAGGCCAGCTTTGTCGGAACACTTGTGTTTGTTAGACACTGAGGACTCTTTTAATCGATCGATTGCCTTCAGAGTGGGTATAGACTTTGATGAGGAGTTTCAGAAATACCACTCATCGTTCCGATCCACGTTGTGAACAGGAAGCGCAATGTCATCTTTACTTGAGTTCTGAGCTCTAGCTATCGTACTCATCTTGTTGTTCTCGCTCCCCTGATCCTGAGCTCCTTTACTTATCGGAACCGCGTAGGCGGCCTCGTGATGATTGGGTCCGTCTGTCTGAGGATCAATGTCAACTAGCTGCCGGAGATTTTCGAAACGCCTCATGCTGAAGATAAAGGAACTGGAAGAAAAACTCGGTTTTTTCGAAATTGCTGTGAGACAATGTTCTGCGTTGTTCTACGAACTGAAAAAACAGCGATTTCAAAGTATTGATCAGAACTAGTCAGTAGTAGGGAACATTTTGCAGCCAACTGGGAATCCGTGAAATACGACCCTATGTCCGTACTCGGAGGTGATGACTTCCTACTGTATCTAATCACTTTCACGACTTCGTTGCCTCCACAACCATCTGCCATTTTCTCTGAAGACATGTGTGCAGCACACGCACAGCTTTTGTTTGGATTGTTTGAGAAAGTTTTTCGAACAATTTTCGACTCTTCAAATCTGAACTACGTCTTCTCAACGACTTGTCAGTCCTTGCAGGATCTATTAAAATTCATGAAGGATGAGGACGCGCTGCCTACGTATGAGAAAACTCAGCCTGATCCACTTGACCCGACCTTCTTAATCGGTTGAGCTAAGTACCTCCAAGAGGACTTGCCGCATCAAAAGAGAAGATCACTGGCGGCATATTGACACTATTGTAGCTTTCCTCGGTAGCCTCCTCAAAACCTTGAACATGCAGATGCCTCTCGCTCTGTAGCCGAAACAGCAGAGATCTATCCATTTGCTGCCTCGTCATCCATAAAACAGACCTGCCAAAAGAAAGGTCAGCTTATGTGTTTCTCGGTCCTCAACCTCAAAACTCGTAGATCTCGTGCCCAACGAAGGTCAAATAAGTTACCCTTTTGAACAGACAAGAACATCAATCATAAGTTACTCTCTATAATATACATTTAATGCTGCTCCCACAGTGATCGACACTGGCAAAATGGCCTAGACCTTTCTGTCAAAGGAAGACATGCCTGTCTATTTCGCCATTTGTTTCACGGGACGCACCCGAAGAGGATCTTGACAGAACCAAGGCTCTTGTTCGTATTGCTGCCCCTTTGTTCCATGCATTCCGCCACGGTTACGCTTAATTCTATCCTACACAACTTTCTTCCAGAATAGGGATATAATGGCCGAAAAAGAGGAAGATGATGAAGTCAAGAAGGAGTACAATCCGAGAGGAGGATTTGAGCAAAGCGCTTTTGACAATTTGGAAAGAGAGTTCCAAGATGTAAGTTGAGCTTGTCCAATCCTTGAACCCAACGCCAGCTTGGCTAATTCATTATCGGCTGCAGGACTGAAAATTTGTTGGAATCTATGTAATGTAAGACGTGCACGAGAAACAAAGTTCTTCAGAGTCCATTTCCTAGCCCAGTGCTCTGTTCCTGCTCTTTCAAAGTTAGCGTTTGTAGTTACTAGTCGAAGCTCACCATCTCGTTCGAGACTCGTTATGATCTCATAAATCCATCCGAGAAGTTACTGATACATTAGCCTCGTCCCAGTACAATCATTGTCGTCCTGTCAGAGTCTTCCTCGTTCTGTCCAGACTTTAGAAGCCTGAAAACCGAGGCTGTGGTTGACACTTGACGCTTGATGCCATCGTTGGAAAATCAAATGAGTGTTTGGTTTCAGACCAGCGACAATAACATGGCTCAAAGTGCATCACCTGCCTGTAGGTTTTGCAAGAGTTGCAAAATGACAGGAGCTTGGACCGATTTCGCGTGGAGTATGAAAAGTTGCATCGGGCTCTCAAAAAATCACACGGTAGGATGTGGAGGGTCGAGCATTGTGTCTGCCTTAAGACTGCCAATTGGCCGAGAATGTAAAATTTATCATGGCTACTCTAACAAAAGATTTTGACGCTGTTTATCAGCACAAAGTGAACCGTGAGCGGTGAAATCATGCTGAAATTTGTACCTACCCTACTCTTCAATCTAACTCTCGGCCACCGTACTCTCTTTGCTCGTCTGGATCTGCAGAGAGTGAAAAGAGATTGATTAAAAAGTGCCGGGAGCTTAATAATGAGATCGTTCAAAATGCGGCCAAAGTGCAAAATGCGCTTTCGATGAACGAAGAAGATCAGAACCTGATTATAGCGCTGAAGCAGGAAATTGATAAAGCATGGAAAATGGTCGATGCCTCTCAAGAGAAGGAAGCAAAAGCCAAGGAGAACATCCAGTATTTGGCCTAACATCTGCTAAATACAATCCTACAAGAATTAATTTATAAATGTCTCCTTCTATGCTGCTTCGTGGTCATTGACTATTTCTTCGCTCTGGTTAAATTAGTGAGCACTCAACATGATGTATGTGCAGGAACTCATCTCTCCATCTCTCACTTGTCCCACGTTACACATCTCAGCACTGAAGATTCACGGGTCTGTAGTTCAAAGTGAGCAATGAAGAGCAATTAATGTTGGGCGCTCGCTGCACATATAGAATGGTGCATGTGAAGGAAATTGGCAGTAAAACTGACTACACTGATACAAAATTCATGAAACAGGCATCTGAAACTGGAAATAGCAAACTTGAGTGGAATTGTGGAGCAAGGTGTTACTCTCACGATGGGCAACGACACACAGGTGATACACCTCTTCTCTGCTTTCATGTCCCGATACAGGTCGGCGCCCCATGATTCCAAGACCTCTCTCTCGATTTAAGTTCTTTGCTCGATTCACAGTATCTGAAAGCTAATCAACTCCCCACTTCGTCCTTCCGATATAATAAATATCCGTGTCATGTCTTGAGCAGCCTCGATATATTAATCGATAATATTAAACGTCTGTGAAGCATGACGACACAAAGAACATTAGTGTAAAATTCATTATAGAGTATGCGCGCACCTTCTCCCTAATCTGATTACTGCAGGCCAGAAAAATATTCAAATTTGGTTATGTAAATATGACTGTACTTGAGTGAAAATATATTTTTGAAATCAAAGATCAAATCTGTTAAAAAAGTAGGGTCAAACATTTTCATATTTCAAACTGTGAAATACAATAATCATTAATTTGATGGTGCCAAAGTTTTAAATTGTCAAGTACAATGTTCAATCTGAATAGTTTTGTAAAAATATTAGATAAAAGGTATGATCAAAGCTAACAGTTGAAAACAAATTTAGATTCAAGATTGATTTGATATAAATGGTGGCTTGGGCTAGAAAGAAAGTCCGTATGACTGAAGGTACTATCCGTAGAAGCAGGGCCTTGGCAGCCTTCCTCAAATCCGGAATCTGATCCTCATAGATTCCATGAAGTTCACAGCTGTACCTTGACGGCGCCAGAAATTGTCGACCAAGTCCGCAAGTCTAACCTTGCCTGACTTCGGATATTGTCCTGCAGGTTAACGATCTGGAGCAAGAGAAGGAAGAGCTATCCAGAGAGAGGGACAGGACAATCAGCGCTCTCATGGACGTGAAAAAAGACCTCCAAGACTGGCAGGAGAAAGCCAAGAGTGCCGAAGCAGATAAGATCAACCTAGAACATGACATTGGGGTTCTTAAGGATCAATTATCCGCGAAGAGAGCCGAATGTGACAGGTGTGTGGACTCGCGAGCATACTCTTCAAAAGTTTTGGTTACTTTATGTAATGGTCCCTTCGAAGCAGCAGGATGTTTCCAGAAGAGATAAACAGGAACATTCTTGTCTGAGGAGGGATCCTTTACTTCATCCCCAAATCCTAACCCTTGAATGGTACTTGATTTGGTCCTTAATGCTGCAAGCGCTCAATGTTTACAGAGAAATGAAGAAGAAAGAGAGGCTCGAAAGAGAGGTGAAAGAACTGAAGAACAGTCTGGACTCAAAACAAAATGAGGTGAAAGAAAAAATGGGAACCATGGTGGAACAACAAGAGGTTGTGGCCAAATTGGAGACTACTTTAAGAGAACAAAAAGCAATCGTTGAAAAAGCTGTGAAGGATTTCGAGCTGGCCAACCAAAAGGTGAACTGTGTCAATTGCTTCACTGGTAGTTGCTGAATGATGATACACACACAGATATGATGTAAAATCAGAGTGCTAGAGTACAGTATGTTAATTCATGTCATGGTGTACTGGACTGGAGAACAAGCGGTTCGAGTATGTGTGAGCATTCGCGTGTCATGTCTGACATGACATATCACGTCAATCAATATGGTGCTAGAGATGCACTGTAAAGCCATGTTCCTGCAGGCTCTGCCCTGAGACGAAATATGGAAATGTATCATGCTTTATTGTTCTGCTTGAATTTTACAAACTCCACACAGTACTTCTAGCTTTTCCAGTGTCTGAGCATACCTCTCAATAACCCTTTATTAACTTCAGCCCTTGGTCTGCTTCATGTGAGCAGGTCCTAAAAATGCAAGGAGATCTGGAAGAGCAGATCAACAACAACACTCAGCTCTTAGCTGAGAACAGTCAAAAGCAAGTCGAACTCAAACTTAAGGAAGACGAGATCGAGTCCTTTAAGCAGGAGATAGTCCGAGTGAACAAGGTGAGAAATTGAAGAAGATCAATTATATTCAACAATGCATGTAACCGAAACCAGAGGATCGTAATCATGTAATCGTACGTCTTGTGAGATCTCCCTTCGTTGATGCAATTCAATCAAATATTCGAGGAATAGGCTGAAATCTGAATTATAATACCTTAAATATATGTGGACAGGTTAGAGAAGCGACGGTAAACAAGCTGAAAGTTGTTGAGAAACAAAAGGAAGAGGTTGAGCGTCAGAGAGAGGATTTGACGAGCCAAACGCTAAAATTGGAGAAAGATGTGGAGGCCCAACGCAAGCTAGCAGAGCAAGAACGGAAACGATTGGAAGAATCCCTTCGAGAACGCGATGTCCTGAACAAAATGAAAACTCAGGCAATGATGGAATCCTAGCACATTGTCTCCTGGTTTTCTGGAGTTCGCACTATGTCTACTAAACCCGTCGTCCTTCTCAATATTGAGGTTCAGATCGAAACTTGCCATTGCACGCTTCTGACGATACAGTCGTTCTTACGTTGCGTTCTTCATTTTTGTACTGTCGCACTGCATTGATTGCGATCTGATTGTGAACAATGTTCTAGTCTTACTGCACAGGCTGAAGATCAAACACAGAAACAAGCTGACCTGGTGAAAATAAATGAAGTAGCAGTCCACAATCTGGAGCTAGAGATCAACATGTACAAGTATGCAGCAGTCAAACAGGACAAAGAGATAGAGAAGCTGGAGATCGAGCGTCAGAAATTTGGCGCAGAGGCATCGAAGTCAGCAACTAATTTCATGAAGGTGTGTCAACCCGCGATACGTCATAGGGCCAATGAGAGCATAAGAATCGTTGCAAACTAAAACTTCACATTCTTTTCTCGTCGATGACGGTACTCGGCATCAAGTCTCAAGTCTAGCATGAAGCTTTCTGGCTGTCGTGTCGCCCACATACGTAAATTAGACAACACTGACTTGATGATCGATTACCAGATAAACTTGATTCATTCAAAGCGTAGATAAATTTGATTCATTGATTGATGAGTTAATGAACTTCAAATTCAATTCTGGGCTGCTAGCCCCTCCTTCTTTCTTCGCTTCCTTTGCATTGTACGTGTTGCGTTTGAATGTCCACATGTCAAGTGATCCAGACGTAATAAACTGGGCACAAAAATTGAGATCCCAGAAAAAAACAGTAGAAGAAATAAAGACTGCCTGAGACTTGAAAAACTCTTGACGCTTACTTGCTGGCTGCTGATCGAGCTTGGCAATTCATGCTTGGAGCGATATGGTATGAACAGGCCCTAGACGAGGTGAGAAACAGGGAAATGAACATCATGGAACTGCAGAAGAAGTTACTAGAAGCTGAAAGTAAGATTAAGCATCAGCAGAATCTCTATGAGACGGTACGCACTGAGCGAAACCTGTACAGCAAAAACTTGGTACAAGCCCAAGACGAAATTGATGAGATGAAGCGAAAGTTCAAGGTCATGGCACACTTGGTTGAGCAGCTGAAAGAGGAGGTCACCTCCAGAGATAATGCTCTTATGAAAGAGCATGCTGAGCATCTGAAGGTATGCTAACAAGGGGCCCAAGAACTATCGAAGTAATTTGAATGCTACTACTACTGCTACTACTAGATCTTTCCAGCGTTCATCAGGTCCCTGTGAGATGTGGCCACAGGTACCTGATATATATCTAGCTGTCCTTGTTAAGATATGTACATATAGCTAATTATGTTCTCAGTAGCTATAAATCCCATATATATATAAAAAAAAATTTATGTTTATATTTTGCATTGTGTGGTTTACAAAACATTAGAAACATTTACTTGTATCCAGGTAGAGAAAGAGAGAGAAGCATTGAAAGGTGATCTATCGAGGGTGAATCGCCTCATAACGGAAGCGGAGGCGAAGATTACAGAGAACATGTCTCAAATTGAAAATCTCAATCACATCATTAGTGAAGCAGACGACGAGCAGGCTCGTCAGAAAAAGGAGATGGAAGTGATCAAAGGCGAGCGAGATATTCTGTCTACACAGGCAAGTCTGAAGAGAACGTTTTCATGGACGCTAGCTGTGGACTATTTTGCTCAAGTCCATTACAAATGCCACTCATTGTATATCGCTGGTCTAGATTATTGAGTCATTCGAATCCATTCACCATTCGTATTTATGCATTGAGCTTGAAGCGCCGGTCACGAATGTGAGGTTTTCACCCCGGTAACTGTTGCATGGACTCATGTAGAGCACAAATGTTTTCTCTCTTTGTTATAAGTAGCATAGTTTGAGGTTCTTCTGTTGTATTGGTAAAGACCACATCCCAAGGTACCTAATTGTTCTTGATCGACGTCTTTCGTTTTGTGCGTTCAACAGCTCATCAGGCGAAACGAAGAACTCACTTTGCTCTACGAGAAGATAAGAATTGAACAATCCACGTTGCTGAAAGGGCAAATACAATATCGAGATCGTCTCGATGAGTTACGAGTGTTGAAGATAAAGCTGACGGATCACAAGCGGGAGCTCGCTCTCATGCACAGTTCGTGTAAAAACGTAGACGTGTTGAAGAAGGAAATTCACAATTTGGGTCGTGAATTGATTCAAGAGCGTACAAAGGTTCTCACATTCTGTCAACAAAATCATTATGGTGACTCAGACTAGATCTTTGTGTGATATGCAGTACTAGGATATATGCAATAACTTCGTCTGTTCGATGTCTGAAATATTAGCTTCCATACTCTAATGTGCGATAAGTGCATCGTCGAGTCTCGACAATCGTCAGTAGAAAATCTACCTCAGGTGGATCTGTGCCAAGAGGACCGAAACTGAATATAACGCTCAGGTAAGGGCGCTGTCGGAGGAATTGGAGAGTCCGATGAACGTCCACCGGTGGCGGAAGTTGGAGGGGACTGATCCCAGTAAATACGAGATGATCGTGAAGATTCAAACTCTACAAAAGCGCCTGATACTGAAGACGGAGGAGGTACAACAATTCCTCTCCTTTCCAAACACATTCAGCATCCGGACACAGCTCTGGTAGATCCAGATCTGCTAGAGTCCGGTCTTTGCCTGCATGTGAATCAAGCTCCTTACCATGTTCCTCGGCTCCGGGCCTCAGTCTGTCAGTTCTTCACCACTCTTCTGATTTAATGCCATCTCCTTTTAATTTGAAAACGCTATACACGAGCTCCTTGTCGTCGGGGACAACCAGAATATTGTCGCATGCCGTAGGCAAACGACCATTTTTGGGAAGCTGCTTCAAGCCCAACGTATGAACGAGAGTTCATACGTTGGGTGGACGTGATTACTTATATTTGAGCTTGGCCAGGTGGTGGAGAAGGACCTACTGATTCAAGAGAAAGAGAAACTTTACATTGAATTGAGAAACATTTTAGCGCGCCAGCCAGGTCCAGAGGCACAAGAGCAGCTGACGAACTATGCAAGGACGATAGAGGATAAAACACGGCAACTCAAAGCCATGGCATCCGAGCTTCAGATGTGCCAGGTGTCTTTCTCTCTTCCACCAACTACGGCTTTAGACAATGCATTTCCACCTCCAGCCTGATCAAGATAAGTCTGTGACCCAGAAGGTTAGAAAATCTCAGAATGCTCGAGCATCAGGCTCTCTCGTATCAACGACGAACCATTTGATTTTCGGTAACTTCCTTGTGTACCCAGTTGGATTAGGACAGAAATTGCGGAATCCCGAGGCGAAAGGCACCTCGACGATCACGATCGACTCATGAGGATATTGATGCTCAGGATGTGGGATTATTGTAGTACGCAGAGCTAGAGCGTCTGCTCTTGAATCTCACACCAAACACTGCAAAAGCTTACTTACACGTGTGTCGAAACACAAATTTTCCATGCAGGTGCATATCGGCGACTACAAGAAAGAGATTCAGACTCTGAACGAAGAACTCCTTCAAGCGAAAGAGAAGTATTTTGAGCTGAGGAGAAATGGTAAAGAAGTGCAAGTGCAGAATGATACGAATATGCCCTTACAAAGTATAGCCCTGGGAGTATAACCTTGAACTGCGCCTCAACACTGCTTCCATTGTCAGTCTGAACAGGCCCAGGAACTTTTGATCGAGAGAACCGAGGTATGTATATTAATTTTGATACGAGAGTTGGTAGGTACTGTACTGATTGCACTTCTGCATACGCAGTTGGTACAGAAGAACTTGATTGACACGCGCATTGCAATCTGGCTGTTTGCTGTTGGAAGCCAAGCTTTGTGCACTCATCAGACGGGTTGAGTAGATCGGCCATCAGCCGAGCACAGCAGGCTAAGCACATGAGTTGAACAAAAGTTTCGGGGGATTTTGAGTTTACCAACCAACTGTAAGAGAATCTGTCCCTGATTTTCACTTTGAGACCAAAGATGATATTCGTGTACAAGATTTATAAGGAACATCGCTTTGAAAGCCAGTTTTCAGTACTATCTCGGGCCTTGATCAGAGCATTTGTGTAAAATAAATGGGTCCTAGTATGCATTGGATTAAGACCTGTTTCCTAATGACTTTACTTCTACCATTTGTAAAGTCCTTCTGTGAGGTGGGGAAAAAAAGTTAATTTTTTACAGACGAGTGATATACACCTCATGTCTCATCACCGTTGATTTAATCATTATTTGTTTTATACACAGTGGTTCATGTGAAATTATGCAAGTACTATTGTACAAAAAATTTTCTAAATTAAAATTTTATAAGAATAGGATAGATTTTCAGTTAAAGTTTATAAATTTGGAACATCGAATCTGGATATTATTTCATCCATCTTTGAACATAAATCAAGATCTACATTTATCACCTTAATTATTTTATACGAAAAGTATGCATGCCAGTGAAATAAAATTATTATGTATCAAGGTAATTTCACTTGCACAAAATTTTTGAATGAAAATTGAAGATTTTGTTCAATTAATTCAAATTCCTTGATTTCAAAATGTGGTTTGAATGTGATAATACTCTATATATATGTCTTTTTATTTAGAAATTTTTAAAATGCCATATATGATTTGATTAGAATTTTAAAATTTTATCTATTTTACCACATGACAATATGATGAAATGGCTTTAATACTTTGATGTTTTATATTGTATGATTAAATTTACTTCTTTGTAGAAGTCCGAATTGACAATCATATGAACAATGTAAATTGATATACTTTTCTCTGTTTGTGAAGAAGAGTTTAAATACCTTTCTCAACTTATATCATACCTTTTGTAGAAAATGTGTTTCCATTATTCTACATTGAGCACTGATTGATATAAACTCTAACGAAGTAAACAGATTGGATGTTATTCATATGAGTGCTTGTGATATAAGTGGATTACATTATGTACATATCTTATTTCATGTATAACAAGTTCGCAGTGAGATGATATCAGTAAACAAGACCTATGTCACTCGTTTTTTTTTATGATATTGTAAAAGAGTATATTAAATGATCAAGAGCTAGTCGATCTACGAAACTCCTTTGTGCTTTCAAACATTTTGAAAACATAAATATTGTGTGAACAACAAACACAGCACGAAGTCATTTGATGACATAAATTAATCGTATCCTTTATTCGTCATGCCTTTTCAATATAAAGTTAAGGGCAACTTCAAGTGTGTGCTGATAACAACTCATGACAGATCACTTTTTTGATGTATGTCGTAGCAGCTCCTGATGTTGTCTTAAGCACTATTTCAATTATAGCACAAGTCATTCGATATCTTCAAGCTTAGATAAAGGAATACTATCTATAACTATTCGCATAGAGTCTCTCTTTACGTTACTTCCATTCTCATGATAGTCTCGTAAAGATAAAGGGGAGTAGCTATGATACTTTCGTAGATAATGAATCTACGGATAGTCAATCATAAGAACCGTTTGTTCCGGCTCAGATTTCCTGGCATCAATTACAATTGTAAAAGCGGAGAACTAGCAAGAGACAAAGTTCTTAACTAGTCTCACTAGTTAAGTAATGTCATGAATCTTTCTAATTTGAAAAATCGTCAAATTCCTTCTGAACAACTATAGCGTTGTGGCCGGAATTTCAAACTTTATCGACTGGGTAGTTAGTACTTTCTTGCGGCTAGGTCTTGAACATGAATTTAGGATCAAATTCCCAAATTCTTTTCTCTCATTGTAACCTTTTTTTTAAGCATAAAATGATATAGGGTCAAAAGTCATGTATGTTGATTTATTATATTTTTTGTTATCGAGATTTCGTAATGTATGATTTCAAGATATGTAAACTACTTTTGAAGTTTAAACTTTTATTAACTTTCACATTGTTCTAACAATGCAATTGATTTGTTTTTTTACTGTAGTTTGAAAATATAGTTCTTAACATAAATTGAAAACTATTTTGAACTAAGTGTTTCAACATGCTTCTTTATCGCAATGACATGCATATGCAACACACCATCAAATAGATCAGAATCATACAAGTTAGTTGTAATTATAGATATCTAAGATATTTATACACTTTTATATCAAAGTTCAAAATAAAAACAAGTAACATCATTCCGAATAAATTTGAATAAAATATTCATCATCAATATATAAATCAGCCTGTTAATGATAGAAATGTAATATCTATACTAGAAGATCTATCTTGATACTAGATATTTTTTCTAATTTCCATTATATATCTTACAATAATATGTACATTCTATGTTAGGTGTCATATCAAGGTACTTCTTTGTTAATCCAGAAAAATATATCATGCTTTGATCAAACATGTACATTCAAAAAATCTGATACAAAGATCATTAGAACATTATTCATTGAGATTCAATCAACTTTCGAGGAGAACGATGCCATGGATTGATTTAGAAAAGTTAAAAAATCTTTAAAAATAATAGAAGTAATGAATTTTAGTTCGCAAACACTTAGTGAATAAAATGTGATGGCTAGTCTACAACTTGATACATATTTGGATAATTTTTTATTACTGTTAAGTAGTTTGAGGGAATTTGAATTAATTCGATCGATACAGAAGTTAAGATAACAAGCGTGCCACATCCTTCAATTACGTTCCCACGTGGATCTTTTTCTCAGAGACGGACGGCACAAACGATACCGTCAACGGAAGACGCTCACCGACGGAGCGGTAGATCCTTGCCCAGCCAGAGTCACAACCAAGAAGAAGGAAGGATCGTGCCACGTGGACGTCCAGAAACAACCCAAGAATGACGAGTCAGCCCCCGCGGCCGGGCCAGCTCAGGCCCGGCCATTGGCCAACTCGACCGGAAAGATTGTCCGAACCGCCATGTCAGAGCAGGAGCAGCAGCAGCAGCAGATAGGACACTGGCCCCTCGGGGAACTGCTGTACGCATCCGCGAATGAGTAAGTCGTCGCCGAAAGTGGCCGTAACGGTAGCGATGCTCCCTCCGCCGCAGCAAGCAGTGTCGCTCGTGCAGTGAAGGACGAGGAGGACGAGGAGGACGAGAAGAGGAGAGAGCTCAGATGATGAGATGAGCTATGGATAAGGGAAGTGGAGAGGGCGACGAAGGAAGGAAGCACTCGAGGAGGAGGAGGAGGAGGAGGAGTCCCGGCGGGTCAGCGCAGCGCCGGTGCGCGTGTGTTTGTGAGGGTCCGGTGAAGTTGAAGGTGCGGTGAAAGAAAGACCAGAGGAGGAGGAGGAGGAGGAGGAAGCAGGCTCGGGAGAGAAAAAACGGAACCGGGTCCCACCGCCCCTCGAATTCGCCCTCCTCCAATCTATCCTGCTCTGCACTGGTGCTGCTTTAGTGGATAAAGAAAGAGAGCCATCGCCATCGCCCTTCCATGCATTGCGGGTTCTTGTGAAGCTTCTGCTGCTTCGGGTCGGTGGTTGAAGAAGGAAGCTGTTGCTTTGCGTTGCTTGGTGTTGGTGTTCTCTCTCTATCGTTTCTCCTCGTGCGCACGGTCTCGGGTGGAATTTATCGTTGCTTCTGTGATTTGTGACTCGCCTGCTGCTCTTGCTCCGCCTTCGTCTCTTCGTGTTTTTCTTCTTCGCCTGCCTCTCAACCGTCTTGCGCAGGCGAGCACAAAGTCGGAGGGCAGTGCGGTTTCCACCGAGCTATGGCTGCTTGCAGCCTTGCGGTAGTGCATTGCCAGCCTGTGGGTTTTGCGAAACTGCCAGTAATTGGTGAGAATCCTCCGCCTCTGAAAACTTCGGGCACGGCGCATTCCCATGGCAGGCCTCCTGATTGTCCGAGATCGTTCGCATCCGTCAATGTGGGGAGGAGAAAAGTTTCCAAGTTTGGTGCGGCCACCGTCTCCGCCTCCAGAAGTTCGTGCCCATGGTTGCTCTCCCGCGCGGCGGGCGAGTTTTCCTCCTTGCCCGTGAGTCTCGCCCCTGTCGGTCAATTTCCTTCAATTTCCCGCCGCATGTCTTCGAAGTCGTGTAGCACTTCTTCTCCGACTACGAGAAGCACATTTCTGCGCAGTTCGGAAATCCAACGAGCACCGAAGACCTACCCCGGTCCAGCGCAGCTCGTGGTTTTAGCATCAGGCATCAGGAGCGGGAGGAATGTAGTGGTGTTCGCTTTCGAAGGAACGGACTTGCAGGCAGGCCAAGCGTGGAACGGCGCTGTCACCGACGAGAAGAAGGGGGAAAATCAGAACGGAAGCGGGATTAAGAATGCAGGGGACGAAGAAGCCATGCTGGAGACTCAAGCCCGTCTGCAGCGATTGGAGGTTTTGGTGCTGTTGAGGAGATTGTACAGGGATGTGATGAAATCCGAGAGAGTTCTGGAGACTCCAATCCCTAGGGTTGCCCCAATTGAGGACGACGAGGACACTGGGGATAAGAAATCCAAGGCCAGGAGGGTTAGCGATTGGCTATGGTGGGGATTGAGGAGCTCGAGGCAGGGAGATGGAAACCAGGAGCTCATTCTCAGCAGTAGTTTGGAACTGTTGGAGTACGCCGAGGACATCCGAGACCTGGCTGTGGCACTGCAGAGAGATTTGAGAGGCGTAGATGGGTTGCTGCCTCTGGTTTTCGGCGAGGATTCCAATGCGGAAAGCATAGTGGAGAACACTGTGGAAAAAATTGGGGAGAGTCTGGAAGAAGTGGCAGAGAAAGTGGAGGCTTCGCTCTCTCAGGAGGAGAGGGAGAGCGCCCTCAGACAGAAAGTGGAAGACGAAGAACGGGAGAAGGACGAGAATGTCCAGGCTCGCGTCTTGAGGAGGCTGGAGAGGTTGCCGGACACCAGCGCAGTTTTGGATCGCGTCATCAAGCGAGTGGCAAGGGTGGATCTCAACAAAATTGATCTCACGAAGGTGGACGACGAGGATGTGGACACCCTTCAAATTAGGGGTCAACGCACTCTGCAATTTTTCGTTGAAACCTGGAGAAGATTGAATGGAAGGCCCGGCTCCAACGTGATCGAGCCCATCACTGCCGTCTTGCCGGTGCCCACTTCATTGAGACCCCAGCTGGAGCAGAAGAAGCTGGCGTTGATTCTCGAGGTGGAGGCCTTGGACAAGAAGCTGGGAGAAGCCAGTCGCGCCAGAGAATCCAAATTGAGGCAGAAGAACGTCTTGAAGAGGACTCGCCTCGCTAGCGAAATTCGCACCATGGACGACGAAGTGAACGAGCTGAGGAAAATCTTGGCAGTTAGGACCCTGCAGTTGGAGATGCAGTTAATTTATATGTATCTGGAGGACGATGTGCTACAGGTTACTGACGATATCAGATCCGACGAAGATGAAAGCTTGCTGGTGGCCGAATTCGGGCTGTTGGATGCAGACTTGGCCACTCTGAGAACAGCCGTGGACAGGAATGAGGCGATTCTCATCCAGGACGAGGAGCTGGAGGATCTTGCAGTAGACATCCCCGATTTGAAGAATCGGCTGGGAATTGTAGAAGAAGCTAGCATCCCTGTACAGCAACGGATGCAAATGTCTATGGCAGAAGGGCTGGTGAAGGTCAAGGAGGGTGCAGGTTTCTACTGGAGAGGTCTGAGGCTTCTGGGTGGAGATTTGGCGTACTCGGGTCGCCTGTTCTGGGCTGCTGTTACGGGAATTACTCTGAAGCCTCGAGAAGTCCAGACTTTGAGACGAACTTTCAAGGATATTTTCACAATGGTTCCCTTCACGATTATCCTGATTGCTCCCATCACGCCCGTAGGTCACGTGATGGTGTTTTCGTTTCTTCAGCGATACTTCCCAGGGTTTTTCCCGAGCTCATTTTCGAACAAGAGGCAAGAGGTGATGAAGAGATACGAGCTTATCAGAGAGCAGGTGAGGCTAGCCGTGACAGAGCGGGAAAAGGAAGAGGCTGCAGCAATGGCCGCCGCAATGGCAGCCGAGACATTTGAAGCATCAGATGAGGAATTGAAACCATCCATTAAGGAGAAGAGCTCTGACTCTGTTAGTGGTAGGCTTCGCCAGAGGGGCAGGCCCGGCAGGTTACTAATTTTGCAGGATAGATTACCAGAAATTGCAAGACAAATCGAGAGTATGAAAGAAGGAATGAAAGATGAGGAGGCAAGCGCAGGAAGCAGATACTTGAAGAAGGGTCTCATCGAGAGGACAGAAGAAGCACTTCCTCCGGACATGGTAGATCCCTCTGCAAGATCAAGCTCCCCTACGGAAGACGTAAATGATAGTAAGTAAAGGCGGGACTGGTCAAATGGTCAAATGTTCCTTCTCGTTTGACTCAACTGTACAATTCATTCATTCTTCTTTCGCATCAGTGCATAATGTAAAGTATCACTATGGTAGAGATTACGTTCGTAGTTGCTTTGGGGAGCTCTGCTTGATCGATACTCCGCCGTATACATTCCCAAAGAGAAGATTCACGTCTATCTTACGACATTCGTTATCCTACAAGGTCTACGTATTCGCCGACAAACATCTTACCCTGTAACTCTAGTTCATGTTTCCTTTAATAAAACATCCCATCAACTCTCTTCGCTTCTCTTGGAGAGTACTGAATCCACCTCTTGTTGACAATATATTTTCTTCACTCATCGCACCGGGTGTGAGCAGGATTTCTTCCTCTGATCACATCGATTGTTGGTGATTCGGCCTCGAACGGCAGTTCATACTCTGTAATTGATTGATGTTTTCATGCGAAAAATCACGATGGAAAATAAGTCTCTCATATGTAGTGGTCATCTCAGTTTCTTTTACTTTGTTGTGGATTTTTTGGGAAATGGTTAGCCATAGTTTGTGTTGAGCTTTTAGCATCAACGTCTTGGATACAGGGGAAGGCAATAAGAGATTTCTCTTCTATGTAAGTAAGAGTGGAATTCGTAAGAACGAAATCTTCCGAAATAAACAATATCTGACTGATTGATAAACACCGGAAGATGGTCATGGTGAGTCTCATTGTAGTTCCTTGCTTCTTTTCAGTTTTTATTTCTGGATCTATCGTCAGTTATCTCTGTGGTATCTTATTGAGATTCTTGGAAATTTTTGGCGTTTCAGCCATGTTGTTGGGCAATTTATTTTCGAAGGTTTAATGGGAATAATATCCACGGGTGATCTTTCTCCCACATCCATTACCACGCATTCAAATGTGGATGCACGTGCGACATCTGAGGTCTGTTTTATATTTGTCAGTTTGCCCTCTTATCTGCTTCGTCTTCGCAGCTCTCGTGGGTCGGGTTCCCCATCATTCTGGAGCTGATCTGACGGGCATGACTAGTATTTTGTATGGAAATTTGTCAAGAGGTTCTCTCTGGCTATATGATAGTCTCCCGTGAATAGAAAATTGTTTTACTTTTTTTATGATACTCTGAACTATACCTAATTGTTCACTTGAGTTGAAGTACAGTGGCCAGAGACTTTGTTAAGTTTTTCTTCATAGAAGACATGGACATTTCAACTCCCTCATCGGTATCAACATCCAATATAGAATGATTTTGGATGACCAATGCAGAACAAGGGGTCGGACCGTGAGTATGCGAACATGTTGAAGAAAATCAGCACTACATGACGAAATTGATGATGATGGAGATTCTGGTATTCGGAGCTGAGGAGCCACAAGTGATTTGAGCACAACTGCCACCGTGCTGTAATTAACTGAGAAGCTTGTCTCGTTCTCCGTCATTATTGTCATCATCCTTGAGCATGTGGGGATCTTGGGCTCCAGGATGTTTCAGGTCCAGAACTGACGATTTCCAGAGTCAGAAATATTAAGTCCACCAAAATTCTTCCAGATAATGCTCCAAGAAATGCACTCTACTGTCAACGCACACAAAGCACTACAAGAACATCTTTCTGGCATGAATGTTGAAAATGCACTTTCCTCAATCACAGATCCTCATCAAGTCAAATGACCGAAGGGGTCTCACGTCAGGGGAATAATGTGAGAGGTGCCAGGGAAGACGATGGCATATGATTAAGTCTCGGCATTTTCCTCTTCTCCTCACAAGCTCGAGCGACAGAAGAGAATCCACTCTCCCACTTTTCACCATCTCAACTCCCAAGTAACCAACAGGAAAAGCAGTTACACCCTCACACTTACTTACTGCGGTAATGCTCCACAAAAAGTGCAATTCTGTTATGTTCTGTACTGTGGTGCGGGAAAGCAGAAGGACAGAGGACCATTGAAGCACTGAATCCAGCGGCTGTTCTGCAAACCAGTGGCAGTGCACGACCCAGCACTCAGCAGCAGCAGGGGACGCAACATGTTTTGGTGGGGCTGAACACACCAGAATAATACTCGAAGGACATTCTGGAAGAGCCCCAGTTTCACTCTCTGTTCCGTTCCACAGGAGCTGTGCCTTCCGTCTCAGCTCACAACACGATTGGAGGAGAATCGAGCACCCGCCGAAGTATATGCCCCCGAAGGAATGTGACCTTTGTTGACCGACCCTCTTCTCCTCCCCACAACTCTCCCTGTCGACGGAAATCAAGGGATTCAGTGCGCGGGAGAAGTTTCTGCAATTCGTCTGCTGAGCAGCAGCCGTGCCCGTGCAATCGCACTTGTCTTCCAGCCCGGGCTCCGTATCTGCGCCCAGAATCCCACATCTCGGCCTTGTGGTCACTGGATGTCGTTGGGCAGTTGAGAATCTCAATCAGTGAAGAAGTGCGCAAGACCTTCCTCTGATCTCGGTGCACCAAGCGGTGTTCTGGTCGTCGAAATCTTGCTCGGCTCGAAGATTCTCTTCTTGCAAGTTCCATCTCGAGCCCCGGAGATTTTGCCCACACCCCGCCCACCGCATCGCATCGCATCGAGTGTGCAGGTTCGGTTTGGGCCGACTTCCCTCCGGAGGGCATCGCGTGGTCCTGGAATCTTGTAACCGCAGCGGTGTTCTGGTCGTCGAAATCTTGCTCGGCTCGAAGATTCTCTTCTTGCAAGTTCCATCTCGAGCCCCGGAGATTTTGCCCACACCCCGCCCACCGCATCGCATCGCATCGAGTGTGCAGGTTCGGTTTGGGCCGACTTCCCTCCGGAGGGCATCGCGTGGTCCTGGAATCTTGTAACCGCAGCCTGGAGGAGAGTTCTTGGTCGGTTAGGAGGGAGGCCGAATTCGTCGACCATCCCGAGAGAGAGAGGGAGAGGCGATTGTGAATGTGGTGGGGGAGTTTGCACTCCTCGGGCCTTCTCCGCGCATCCAGACTGGTCCGGGCTCTCGGTCCAAATCGAGCTGCCTTCGCGGCGGCGGCGAGAGCCGAAGAAGGCGCTCGGAATTCCGCGCGGGGATCTTCTTCGTGTGCTATGCGGGCCGTAACTCCTCTGCCTCCAAGCCAGCTCCGTAGGGCAGGCGCCATGGAAGCGAGCGCTTGTCTGGGAAGAAGCAATGCGTCCCCGCGGCAACAGAACGATGCTTCTGTGTCGATGTCCACTTCTGCTCCTTCTGCCTTCAGCGCGATTCAGTTCCTGACGCTGTGCCAGAGTTTGAAGACCACCAAGAGAACGGGGTGGGTGAATCATGGGCTCAAGGAGTCGGAGTCCATCGCCGACCACATGTACAGAATGGCGATCATGGCGTTGATCGCCGCCGATGGGGTTCCGGGAGTGAATAAAGATCGGTGTGTGAAAATGGCTGTGGTGCATGATTTGGCCGAGGCGATTGTGGGCGACATAACTCCTTCCGACAATGTTCCCAAGGCGGAGAAGAGCAGGCGGGAGAGGGAAGCTATGGATAAAATGTGTGCTATGTTGGGCGGGGGTGATGCTGCCCAGGAGATGATGGAGTTGTGGCAGGAGTACGAGAACAATGCCACCCCCGAAGCCAAGCTTGTCAAGGATTTCGACAAGATTGAAATGATATTGCAGGCTCAGGAGTACGAGCAAGAACAGGGTAAAGATCTGGAGGATTTTTTTAGGACCACGAGAGGAAAATTTCAGACTGATGTAGGAAAGGCTTTAGCTGCAGAGGTTGTCAAACGACGAACTACTAGCTCCATAGAGAGTAATTCCTCAGAGGCATCCAATTGATGCGCTCTTTACGAATTTCCCATGCATTAATGCCAGTCTTGTAGAAGCCGATCGATTGTACATTCAAGGATCAAATGTTTAATTGGAGATGAGAAATAGGTGCACTGCTCACGTGGGGTGTAATAAAATGTGTCCCTTTCGAGGAAGCGGCTTGATTTGGTATCACAACTATATCAACTCGAGTTACGCCAGTATGTGCTAATGGTTTTACAGGCTGATGAGATTTCAGGGTCACTGTTCCGTTTCCTGGGTCAAGGTTTGAATGTGTACTTCCATGTCTTCGAAGAAGGCCTTAGCTGTCATAATTCTTCCTCTGAGTGTGGTGCGAAGGTTGAATTTTTTGCTGGGACTATTTTACCGTACTTCACATTGCAGACATTCGTTTTCATTTTCGAAAAAGAAAGCGGAAATGTAAATTTCATTTTTCGAGTCGAGCAACAAAAATGGTGTTGTCTGAAAAATGAGAGGTCTGCAGATTTTTAACTCTGTCCTTTAAACAATCAATTGAGTGGTTTGCATAATGTCAACGTCAAACTTCCTTTTCAAAACGATGGTTTCAGTGGTGTTCAGTTCACGACAAACACGGCCGTGCTTTAAAAGACATGTTGTTCCTTTTCGAGGTTGAAATAAAAAAGGGCTACTCTACCCTCACGGACGGTGAGCATTCCATATGCTTGAAAACATAGAGATCTACAGAAGCATAACCTTCTCAAAAGTGGAACAGACGACATGAAGGAGGAGATGATTACGAGAATTAACTCTCAGATCTTTTGGATAAACTATCTGACAGACAAAACATGTTACCTTTGCTCACGAGAGAGAATAGATCAACTTTCTTCTGGTTTTCGGGCTGGGCTGCCTCTCAACTTTGTCTTGCCTCTGCTTTGAACAGTCTCTGTGGTTTGTAGTCGTTTGTCTTAGTTCCATGCGCCTCCACTTTCTTTGTGACGAGACGACTGAATGCTTATGAGTATACAGAATGAAAAGCCCAACATTAAGATGACCTCAAACACCAATGACGCACTTGGAGAGTTCAGGATCTGTCAAGAGTCCTTGCCTTACACGATGTGATCCACACGAGTTACGTGCGACGGTACTTTGAATATGAGCTGAATGATAGGGAGACCTAAACTGTAGAAGTATGTTCAGTAAGTGGTCTAAATGTTCGCATTATTTGGAAACTGACGCTGTCATGAGTTCATGTGCAATAAACATGAAGCCTCTATGGTAGCTCCTCACCTTCAATCTGTGTTTACTCAGCCTCAGTAAAGTGCTCAATACTTTTCAGGTTCTATTGTCGAAGCACGAAAATATCAGAAGAGAGCCGCTAGATATCCAACAAATACCAAGATTTATACAGACACCACACTCAGCATGATTAAGAGACAATCACAGACTTCTCGCACAAATGAAAGTTGACAACGATTGCTAGGTTTGAATCGCTGAAAATATGAGAATCATCCAAAAAAATTATGACAATCTTGAATATTCACAAACTAATGTAATAAGCCAGCGTGTTGAAAGATATTGCTAAATATCACACCGGCCTGACTTTCTCTAACAATGTCCAAATAGGCCTAATTTTCTCTTGGTTTCACGTAACTTTCCCTTGGTAGCACTTGACACATTTGTGTCTCCCCAACCACTCAATTGTGGTGATCATAGACTTCTAGTGTGCAAAGCAATGAATTTGTAGTAAGACACGATTTACAAACTTTGGTGCGCCGTTGTTAAAAAATGGATTTCTACTGTAAGTGTTTGTCTCTTGATGACATATCTCAAACAACAGAAGTCTTCTTTAGCAGACTGTCTACTGCCTCGTCTTGCAAAGCTGCTTTGTTGGCGGCCTCAGCAGCGTCGTGAAAGCCATTTTTCTGGAGATCTTCAATGAAAAAATCCAGCTGATTGTTTTCAAGTCGATAAGGAGTGTGAGCACCCGATGGAAACTCTCCAGAAGTCACCTCTCTGTTGTACTCTTCCAATGCGGAATTTATAACCTCTCCTATTTTTGCGTATTTCTTGCAAAATTTGGGCGTCACCTACACATCACAGATTCCATTACCATTACAAAACTGCTTTCTCTATACAAACACGTGAAACACAAAGTGGCTTAAAAGACGACGAAATTAACAATCTCAGTCATCAAGACTCTGCAGATATATAAAAACACATCAAGTACTAATCTTCGTAATCAGATGCTCGACCAGCTTTTGCAAATCGGCCTCTGACGAAATTATAGTGGTTTACCTTGGCGTAGTGAGGATGCTGCATCATTCCAAGTAAGTCGTGATAGACCAACACCTGCATGAACATATATTTCACGTCATGATCAGGTGCTGAAGCGTGTTATAAACGATAATTTTGAGACACTTCAACAACAAACTTTGCTCACGCCTCTTGCTTTCAAGTTACAAGATGTCGATCCACGATGTGGATCAAAAGCACGTACAATCAGTTTTCACGGATTCTAAGGAGGGCCCAGAAAAATGTTCCATTCTCACAAATGTGTATAATACAAAGGTGAAAATTGCTGAAAAATCTTGGAGTCCAACAACTCTAAAGTGACGTGAGATGTATTTTACATCTCACATCACTCTTACGTCTCCTCGACCTCTTCGATGCACAAAAACACAATTCTTGGATTTGAATCGCTGACAATATCACTGAAGTACGCACCTGTCCACTACATTTTGGCCCAGCACCAATACCAATTGTAGGAATCTTCAGGGTTGTTGTAATGGCAGCTGCTACTGGAGATGGTACACATTCAAGTACTACGGAGAAGCAGCCTGCTGCCTGCAAGGCCAATGCGTGTTCCAAAACCTGCAAACAGATTCAAAATAATGTAAGAGCTAGTCACTAGCCCTTCGAGATACAAACGGACTAGTAGGATAAAGGTACATCTACAGAGTTGCTAGACTTTGTCTAGTCTAATACAGTATCGGTGAATTCTGTGCTTAGACTATTCTATGATCTGGCTAGAAAATTAAACACTTTAACACTTATATTAGCTTGGACATGCACTAGAACTAATCTTGCAGATGTGAAATGGTATGTTTCCAACGCAAATGCGGATTAAGGATGCAGAATTATCTTTCAAGACACACTTCACCTATCTGTAGACCATTAAACACACGCCCCATGAGCAGGAACACCATAAAACTTTGATTGGAGTTCGAAATTATACATTCCACAGTACATACCAAGAGAGCACGCGCAGAGCTCCGGCCTTGGGGTCGAAAGCCACCTAGGATACTGATGGCTTGTGGTGTCAGTCCTACATGACCCATGACAGCAATTCCAGCCTCAGAAATAGCTTTAGCTGCTGCAACTCTGGATCCAATTCCACCTTCCATCTTCACAGAATCCATGTTTCCTTCCTTGAGCATCCTCGTCGCACTGTCAACTGCCTGCCCTGCCATGACATCACATTAGAGTAAGCGACCATGTGCATGCGCTTCTCATCAGCTGAAGGTGAGCTTGAACAGATTACCCATGAAGACTTTGGATAATGACACTGATCAATATTCTACTTCTGTTGTACGCCGCGAGCATCTAGATAGCTAGAATGCGGAGATGCAAAAGGCGGTCAGAGAGCGACTTATGTAAGAGGAGTTCAGTAGATCAGCCTAGGCTCAAGCAATCACCTGCTGAGGGCTTTGTTCATAGGAGCCAAAGGGAAGGTCGCCAACCAGGAGAGGCCGACGAGCACCCCTCGCCACTGCTTTGCAATGCAGCAACATGTCGTCTAACGTCACTGGCAGTGTGGTGTCGTGACCGTGTACCACCATTGCCACAGAGTCGCCCACCAGAGCGATATCGATTCCCGCTTGATCGACGTGCACGGCAGAGGGGTAGTCATAAGCTGTGACCATTGTGATCGGCTGAACATCACAAAAGATCACATTAATTTCTCAAATCCCCTCGCAGGGTAACCACTTGAATCTGCCAGACTGTAAGATTTCAAGCTGACAAAATTGTAACACAAAATGTTTAATTGCACTTCTACTTTTCTTCGTCCACTGCCTCAGCTGAGCTCCTGGAGTGGGAATCTGCTGTGAGGAGTCCCACCCACCTCTGCTGACACGTTAAGCTCATTCGAGATGATTCAAAAGATTCCCTCATTTCACGAATCATGGCATTTTTTCGAAATCTATTCCGCATTGTTCAAAGGATCCCCACCTCTTTTTTCGCATACTTTTGCATGAGTTGCCTCAGGGTGAAACGCTTCACTGCCGACTGTGAAACAGGACCTCCATAAATGGTTGTCTCGGGAAGATTGCTGAAGTGGCGAGGTTGACTGGCAGGAGCTTTCAACGCCCTGGACGCCAACGCGTGACAACTCTTGAGTACATGGCTACGACTCATGACTGCAGCGATGTTCAGATCTCGCGCGCTTCGTCTCGCCCGCGCCACCACACTGCTCCTGAAAGGAATATGTGCCTTAAGTACTGACGATCCAGCTCAAAGAATGTTGGAATTGGTGAACTGTGCTTGGCCTCATACGCATTACATTCATCCAAATATCAACACTAGCAGCAAAACAGAGATGGATCGCGGTCTTCGAAGTTCAGATCGAGACTGCAGTCAGTCAAGTCTCGAGCGTGACTTACTGTACAAGCAAGGCAAGTGTTGGAGAAATTCCTCTCGAGCACTTCGTGCGCATCATCAGCAGTTTGTGCGTGGATGTGCCGCGTGGATGAGTTGCCCTGCGTCCTCGTCAGGACCCACCAACAGACTCGATCCAGTTCTACTGGCCCGAGCAGCAAAAGCTCAAAAGGTCAAGGCATAAAGACGCAGATCTCCTCGGTCCACACCCCCACCAGAGTCAGAGCAACTTCACGTTGCCTGAAAAGTCACTCTGCTGCAAGTGCTACGGACCTTCCAACCCTAATCCATGAGTCACCAGCACATGAAGCAGATTTACCACGATTCCCACACACATATTGCGTTTCATACGGTGACTTGTGCGTGTAGCACGTTAAATAGCAAATGGTGAGTTTATTTGTGGATGCGAACACTTTGTTGTGAGTCATGCTGACCTGAACCAATGTGACCGCAGACCACTGCTGACGGCGTAAGTCAAACACGAACCCAGAGGCTCCAAAATGCTTTCTTCTCCCATGTCCCACATAAATGTCGAGGTTGGAATCTATTCTACACACCATAATGGTGAATATTGAAGGAAGTGAACAAATTTGTAGGTTATGTGACGGAGTAACTAGTGAGGATGAAGAGCATGTGGTTGTTCTATGTCCTAGGTATGAAGAGATTAAACTTGCCCACACAATAGATTTAGAGAATTTTTACTCTTTATTTCAGCTAGTGTATTATGATTAAGGTTGTTATATTAGGGATTTGATTATTCATCGTTCTAGTGCTATAGTCATTAGCTAGGAGATCAAGGTCTCTAGTATCTTTTCTTTTCAGATCTTTAGGATCGGAATGTTTGAATCGTACTATGTTTTTCAAAATTTTGATTCTTTGGTTACTCGGTCTTGATTTATTTACCATAACAGGGTAAACGGAGAGAGAGTGAGTGGACAGATAAACGCTGGAAGACCAACTCACACGCTAAGCAAAGGTTAGGACCCGATGATTTATTCATTCAGTTTTAAGGACTTTATTGAATTTTTTGGATCGGATGAATTGCATATAACATAGCATCCTGATACCACATCGTTTATCTCGATGGCTATTCTTTGTATAGCACCGGTGAATGTTGGTTTTGAAGTAATGATAATACTTCAACTTGAATAAATTACATTATAATCCAAGGATTATGAAGTCTCTATCAACTCGTAAAGTAAGATATCCAGAGGTTTTTCTTGAGCATGTCAAATTTTCATATTTATAAGAATAACTTCATTAAATTCTTATACATATATGTATGAGGGAGAGAGAGAGAGAGAAAACAAGATGACATGCAAGAATGCATAGCTCAAATGTAATCTTATACACGAATACAAGATATGGATACATAATCTTAAAGTGGTCATGAATCAACCATCATAGAGTAAAAGAAATATTGTATTACTAACATTATATTATTTGCTAGTGATTATTTGGGGATTTCTATCTGCATTGAAATGACATTTATTAAAAAACGCATGATGTAAATGAAAATTTTTTTCCAAGGATATTCTTTAAAATAATTTTCCTCTCGTCAGTATTACATCAAGAAAGTTCCTTAAAATATTTGAGTATATTTCTATTTTTTAAATTTGACGTATTGTTATATTCATAACAGTAAAGTTTGATCAAATTAATTGAAAGCTTTTAAAAATTACGAAACTCTAAAAATTATAAATTTATAAAAAAAGTAATGCTAATTATAACATGTTGAAGATGCATATCCTTGCTCATCATTAGTAACATGATAAATTAACTAAAAGTTTCAAATATTCATTCATAATACTAAGATTAGATTAAATGAATGTCATCCCATACTAGTATTTTTGTGTTATGTCATACAAATATCCTTAGAATAACATGTGAGATGTTTAATTTTAAATCTTTTTTTAATATAAAAAAATATATACTTAAATATATTACTTATAATTAAATAAATATATATAAATATATATATATATGTATATATATATTCAATTCGATAACAAAAACTAAAATTCCTCCATCATGTTCAAAAAGTACTTTATCATTAATTCTGAAAAAATGTTGTTCTATTTTTTCTATTTTATTTATCTTACAATGTCCATGTATTGTAATTTAACTTGTATGGACTGAAATTTATGTTATCTTAAATTTATCAGTTACTTAATCTAGTGATTTATATATGAAAAAAATAAGAATTCTAAATTTTTAAATGTTTAAATTTGTTTGTTGGTATCAGTAACATATTTTATTAGAATGTAGATAATTTTTTTATGATATGATTGTGCTATTGATTCAAAAATCAATTTTAAATCCAAATTGTTATGAAATTTTTTTTATGCAAAAAATATAATCAGATACTTTTAAAAAATAATAATTTCAATAGATAGACGATCATGTCATTAAAATCACTTGATATTGCTTAAGTAATAGAATTTTGAGCATTATTGTAAATATCATACAATCCATGAATATCATACAATTCAAGTGTTTGAAGATACATAGCCATAAAGATTGAGATCTATCATTACAAAACTTAATGAACTTATTGTTGCTTAAGGATAGAAATATTATATTTTTTTACTATGATCTGGAGCTGCAATAAATAAAAAAAATGAGCCGCTAGTTATAACTCAGTTTATTTTAATTATTCTTCACCTTTCATTTACAGGTGTGTTGCGCTGGCGAGTAATTTCATGGACAACCTGTTTGTTCTAGTAGAAACATTAGATCGATATTTTGATTGTTACATATTTCTTGTTCTCAATATTGCGTTACGATGGGGTAGCTCTGACTCAACGCGTAACTTTGCACTATAACGAAGCGTCCAATGTTGCGGTGAACCTAGTGTGTTGAGATAACTCTTACCAATCACACACCTTTCACTTCTTAAGCAATTTATATAATTTTTGTAGTATGAGTCATAATTAGCATAAGTTGAGTATAACTAGACTCTACCTTAAAAAAACTCCAAAGTGACTCAAGAAAGTAATGCAACTTGCCCATCACTGCTTGGAGGCTGGCCTGCGGATACACACAGAGATGATTTTCTAGTCTATTCAAACCTCCTCATTGAGCCGCACATTTTCCTACTGGATGAACTAACTTGACATCGGACTCTGACTTCACAAAATCCTCTACTTTTCCGGAAAAACGGACGAAAGAAGGATCACCGTATTCACGGCGCCGGATATACAGGAAGGAGACTCTACTGCTGCCGTAAGAGCACGTTTTCCGCCGGAAGGCAGATTAGGCGAAGAACGAAGCGTGAGGCGAGGCTTTGAGGCATGGAACACCGAGTGCGATTGGATTGGACTCGTGCACGTGCTCGAGTGTAGTGCAGTGTGCATCCATTCGGACTGATGTACATGAGCAGAGCAGAGCATTGCATTGCTGCGTCGGAATCTGGCAGTGGTGTAGTTTCAAAACTCTTGGCTGTGAACTGTAAATTTGGAAATTGACATCAAAATCTCCACAACATTTGAAATTCGGAGCACCGTGGTGGTAAAAATTGTGTGTTCTCTTCCTCCAGCTCTGAGCTAAAGAGCGGAGAGAGCGTCCGACACTGCTTTGGATTTCTTATAGGATGAGAGTGATGAGTCATCTTCCTTTTGAAGGAACTTGCGCTGCGTCTGTGTCTTGGAGCTGCTCTTCTCCTTTTTCCTTTTTGCCACAAAGGGCTGGGAAGAAATTCATTTGCTTATCGCCGCGCTCAGAAGCCGTTACCAGTGTGTCCCAAAATGGCGATTTCCGTCCTGCATTGGATTCAAAGAGGCCGTCCTCGAGTGGACCCGAGAGGAGAGTTATTCATAAAACTGCCGCGGTGGTGGAACCTTTTGGCGAAGAAGGATTTGGTCAGCTATGTCAAGTGATTCAGAAGGTGATTTCCGCTGAATGATGAATAATCCAGTTATTGAAGCAGAAGTTAGTCGGGAAAGATTTATTTCTGTTTCGATTTTAATTTGAAGCGAAGATTCTGTACGAATTGTCTTTAATTTTCAAATGTACTGGCTCAAATCTGCTTTGTATTTGAACTCGAAGGTATGACTCATTTGACAGAGTTTTGGTGAGCGTGCCACTCGCCTTCGAAGCAACTCAAGTCTGTCAAAGAAGGGAAGGTCAGATTTCTTACTTGCTGAGACTCGTGAAGGTGGAGCATCAGCGAAAAATCACGTACTAAATGTGAATTATTTTTCTCCCGACGTCACATCACACCAATCCACTGCTGTCTACAAGAACTTTGTCAACGAATTACAAGACTTTGAATCTGAGGTCAATTCCTTACCTTTTATTGAGTAACTGATTTTTTGACAGGGTTGGCGTAGCGCATAAATATGAAATGGAAACTTAATGTCCGAAAGAAAAACAAAGTGCATAGCGACTTGAGCTACAAAAACGGAAATAGTGTTTAATCTAGACCACTTCAGACTTATTTATTGCTCTGCTCTAGGTTACGATGATCCAGTCAAAGCTCTTGGATTGTTTAAATTTCGCTTTGTTGTCAATTATTGATACAGAATGATCTGTTACAGGACAGAGCCCCTATTGAAAGTAGAGATCCATCGACCAGAACTTTGTATCTGGTTGATGTCCATCCACTATGCTACGAAGGAAAAAAGCCACGGCCTACGGCCATTTTGAAGTGGTTGAAGCTTCTTTTTGATCAAGTCACCCATGAAGATCCCGTTATTGCAGTAAGCTTCTCGTCTGAATCGGCCACATCTCTTAGACTGTGTACACTACTTCACCTGCAGCCTTTGTGTTTATTTAGCAAATTCTGTTTCTCATGTATTTCCTACAGTTTCTAGTGATTGACCGTGTCCATGTCTTTCTCTCGAATCATGTCAAAGTGCAAAATATTTTGTTGTTTCGTATTTTGCCTAGTCCTAGTCCTGGTCCACGTTTCTATGCATCCGGCCTGTCACTAGATTTAAGTATGACTTGAACATGTTCGTGGATCTTCTAAATAGGCGATGTTCAATCTTTTTCATTCACCTTGTGTAGTACACATTCACCACCTCAGGGATTTTTTTGTATTATTGCATTTTGACATTTCCATTTGTTCAGGTGATGGATGGAGAGCGGGGAAATGACTATAGAAGACAGTTGCTACCGTGCTATAAGGCTAAGAGAAATAAGTACAAGCCTTTATCAGGTGTGCGCGGGCCGTATTACAAAGGAGATGAAATGGACCTTCGGGAGGCATTTCCACAAATTCAGGCTTTTCTTGCACAGTGCAATGTTCCGGTATGATGATCTTGCTTCCTGGTTGTTGGACTTGTGTGGAGAGATGATTTGGGTGTGTACGTCAGTGGTGATGTGTCCAGTAATTGAACATGCTATTTCTCGATGTTTGAAGTCCTTTTCTCGCAGACACATAATCATTTCTTGTCACAAGTCGCTGCACATGTTATGGCTCCCTACTTAGTCCTAGTCTTGAATCCTCTGGAGCCTATCAAAGCCATGAGTAGTGCTCCTCTTCATTTCTGTGCGAGTTGGATTGACTATTCCATGCCTTGTGGGCCTGGCAGGTGCTGAAAATCGAAGATGCAGAGGCAGATGATGTTGTGGCAACCTTAATGCACCAGGCAGTCAGTAAGGGTATGAGAGTGGTTGTCGCATCTCCGGATATGGACTTTCGCCAACTACTGTCGGAAAAAGTGAACATGCTGCTTCCATTACCAGAATTTGGACGATGGTCCTTTTATACCCTCGAGCAATACATAGCACAGAACTCCTGCGAGCCTAGTTTGGACCTCGGCCTCCGTAAGTTGACTGCTTGTTCTCAACAATGCTGCTGGTTTTTGTTTGTGTATGTGGATTGAGTTTCCTCAGTCATGCATAGTAGCTACGTGTCTTTTGTCCACTTACAAAGGGGTGTTGTTAGGTTTTTCTTGCACCATACTCATCTTGTTATGGTCAATACATCCACAAACAGAAAACGCCTTGCTCATACCAGTACCATTATTCTCCCGTTATGAGAAAAAAGCAATTCAGGAAATTATGTGTGCCACACTTTGCTTGTATCGAATATATGACAGTAGATATTTATATACACTGTAGTGTGACTGTATCAACCTTTTCATTATTTAATGCATATGTGCAGGATGTATCATGGGAGATTCCAGCGATAACGTTCCTGGGTTGCCAGATTTGGCCCCAGGGTTTGGGCGAAAGACCGCTTTGAAGCTCATGAAGAAGCATGGCTCTCTTGAAAGTTTGCTAGTCGCAGCTAAAACCAGGACAGTTGGGAGACCCTATATACAAGACGCCCTGACGCAACATGCAGACGTTCTGTATAGAAATCTTCAAGTGTTGAAGCTAAGAAGGTATCTTGACTTCACAAGTTTTCTAGGATGATTCTATCAAGGTCTTGATTGATGAGAACATCAAGGACGCCCCAAACTGTTTGAAGTTTTCAGATTCAGTAAGCAGAACAATCTTTGTACGTCCTTTTCTCTTCGAAAACAATCAATCTGACTATGAACTGCTGTATTTATGTTGGCAGAGATGTCGGTATCACATTGAAAGAGGAGTGGTGTAGACGGCGGGACAGGTCCAGAGAGCTACAAGCTTTCCACATGTTGGAGAAGAACTTGATGCGAAAATCTTGAAGAGTAGAATTAAAGACGTGGTTCTTTGCCTATGTATACATATGAATGACCATTTGTGCAGTATTTGTACCCAAGTTATTGAAACAATATTCAAAGATGGATTCGGTCTGGTCAAACCTGGTTGAAACACGTGATCATTTAGCTGAAACGGTTAGTTTAGCATAGGGGTTTACAAGTATACATCCAATATCTGTTATACTTTCAGTGCAAGAAGAACCATCCAAGCCTCCGTGTTCGAGAGGGATCTAGCAATTCGGTCGATGAAATATGCATATGAGTTGAAAGAGGTGTGTTGATTACAGTCCCAATGGATCGTGTGTTGTCTATGTTTATGATCTTACGCCGAGGGAGGATGAGGTACGTAAGTTGGTTGGAATACTCATGTTGCCTGTAGCTTGTTTGACATGTTAGATGGAGTATGACAAATTGCCCATTGTGATGCTATTCGGATGTATCCCCAAGTACCTGTTTGGTTTCTTCCATGTCTAGCTTGAAACGATTCTTCCTACTTTTTGTCATACTACTTGGTTCATCTCCATGCTACATCGTCTTTCCATCTTTTTATTTATGAAGTACCCTAAACACGTAATGGCAACAGGCAAATTGTACCTATTCTAAGTGGAACGTAATTGACAACAACGATCAATGCGCCTCGGTCGATCCTAAGTTCTATTCTTCAATTGAAGCTGAATGAAATAGCCATGTACATTATCATTGAGGCTTGAACATGGAGTCGGGCAAGGTTTTTTGTGTGGCTTATTGAAATGATATTTGTTACATTTTTTTTCAAGTTAGATCTCTTTTTTACCCCGATAGTAAAAACACAAAAAATCTAAACAGGAATTAATAAATATAGCAACAAAATTAATATCTAAACCTTTGTTACGTTGTAAGAAATGTATGTAATTTACAAAGGAACTGAAACACCTTCTACACGAATCATTAAAAAGCGCATAGCACAAGTTGCACAATTTGCAGAGGCAATTCAAAAGTATGAGAACTACGGTATTAAGTGAACGTTGATTTGACCAACACTTCGGCGTAGTTACTCAACTAGATCAATTCTTTAGATACATTAATTTATTTAGAACAAAGAGAACAAGTAGAGGACAGTTTAGGTTAGGGTTTAGGATGATAGCCCTGAATAATTTTTAACTTATACTTGAGAAATCTGTTTTTTAAATGGCAGATCATCTTTTAGAAACTTAATCGGATATTTATTTATATAAAGTCGGAGCTCCATACATGGAGAAAAGACATCAAGCTGCGGAATCAACAGTTTTGCAAGAAACTTGTAAAAAGATGTGTATACCTATGCCTTGAATTGTTGAAAAACCTGATAAATATGATCAAATATAGCATAGGCGTGAATTACAACCAGATTTAGTTATTTGTTTAGGATATTCATGCAAATCCACTTGAAGCAAGAGGTATTTTCGTGAAAAAAATCTCTTTTATATTTTTTTTCCACTTGAATGCTATTTTATTTAGTACTATTTGTTTGGGATTTTGGAGAACATGTACACACGTCAGTTAATATGAAGATTTCACATGGAGGACTTTGCATCTTTATTATGGGTGTAATTTTGTCTAACGCAAAAAATATACTATTTTACAGGGAAAACCCCTTTTTTTATCTAAATTGAAATCCTCTAAAGCATGGCATAATGGTACTGCTGGACGGTTTTGAGCTATGCTATGTAGAGAACGCACTTGGTTATACCTTGGACACCCAAGTGTACCCATCACTCTTGATATTCACACATATCTTGACTTGTAAATTGTTTAGTGATGCATGATTGATTGCACATCAAGTAATTTTGCCTTGCATTGATAACAAAAAGAGTGCTTGTTACTGTTTATGTGAAATTTGAAAAACGATTTGTTGTGAGAATTCGTTTCTTTCACATCATGATGTTAATCTTTCTGTAAATTGTGACATTAGAAAATCAACAGAATAATGTGGATGTATTCACCAATATTCTAACTATTGATCTCACATGATAAGGTTCAATATCTTCTCCTGAATTCACAACACTCTCTACGCATGATGATCTGATATTCAATTTTTTCAAGAGTTATTTACTTGATGGTATCCCATCGGAATCTAAATTGCTTGATATGAACCATCAAGTTTCGAATTACACAATGGTACACTATTGACGATACACCGTTGCTAACATCTAAAACATGTTCATGTACACTAGAGCTCGCATAATATGTGAATTTTAGTTTGTGACGGACATTGTCACAAATGCACAGAGGTTTTATCAAAAATTAGATTCGGTGAGCAACAACAAACGTGTGGAATTTGTGGAGAAAATTCATAGAGAGTGTACGATAGGATTCACAAGTGAATCCGAACGTTAAGTGATTTTACAAATTTTGGTGCAATGGGTAAGTCTCGGACGAAGAAGTATTCAGGTCGGATTGCATTGTCACAGTTCCACTCTGTGCACTGTCTATTGATACTAGAACATGCATAACGTGTAGCATTGGTCGGGTACATCAGGTAAAACAAAACTTAAAGTATCCAGTAAACAATTTAGGTTAGGATGGGATCCCATCAAGTAAATACCTGATTTTTTCAACCATGCAGAAAAGTCTGTAGAATATAGGTGGAGTGATGATTTGTTCATAGTACATTACGACTAGTATTTTGATTTGCAATATTAATGCACCATTTATATTTGAAACATGTTGTGTATATTGTGATTACATGCATTTTGAGTTTAAGTAACTTTTTATACACTCATATGTATCTCCTTGTATTAAACTTCACCTTCACACCTGAAGGTTCCAACTACTCACATAAAAAAACTAATGTTTTTTACTTAAGAAATGCCAAAAAAAGCTTATCACAAAGAGTCACATTTAATATAAAACTTGAGCTTAATTAAATTTGAATTTTTCTAATTCTGAAAAAACAATTATCTAATAATAAATTAAATGCTTAATTTCAAAAAAGGCGTAACTTCAATGTCTGGACTTCCAATAGGCTAATTTAAACTTTGTTTTCCCTTTAGCTTATAATCTACCACAATCCTGACCTATACTCTTTTAATGTCAAGAGACATGACTATTGGTTAAGATTGTAATAGACTTCAATAAATCTACTCACCGGATTAGTTTTATTCTGAAATCTGTTCTTGAAGGCACAAACTTAATTAATTGAAGATGCAGCTAAATAAGCTAGTAAATTTAATTGATACGTAGTCTCGATATTTTATAAGTATCATAATAAATGAACTGCTTTAGTACATGAAGATGATGTGAATTTTGTAGGTTGATATCAAAAGTCTTTAGTGATAGGATGCCTCATCATTAGTTCCTTATGTGAAATCCATGTAGAGAATGTAATGATCAAACCAGTTAACAAGCTGATTTCATTAAATCAAGTCTTTCATCGTTTTCTTTATTGATTCATCCACAAAACATACATTTCGAACATCAAAACACATTTTAAACACATAAATTTTTACATAATAATATTTCAAGTTATCCACAATTATACACATGATCACTACAAATCACTTGATCAAAAATCTAGAAATCAAATTATGCATATTTTTAAAAAACTAGAATTAATATCAATGATCTGAATTCGAAATTTTGCCAATAAATCTAATCTACACTATATATTACGCCAATTGGAGGCCAAAACTGACATACTTCGATAATACACGATCAATTGTAACTTCTTATAATATCTATAGAATAAAATAAAAATCAGAGAGTAAAAAAATAAATTTATTCCATAATTACTTTACATCTTAAAAAAGATTTCAGAAAAATGGAAGTCCAGGATCTAATTTTACTCTAATGAATAATATTTGATGAACATAGATCTCCATAATCTAGTACATTCAAGAAGCACTTTACACATGCACAGTAGCTAGTCTATCATCATGTCAATCATGCTAGTTTGATGGATCAATTTCTTAAAAGACTTTCTAAAAGCCAAAGTATTCATCATTGTATGAAAGAATTATCAATTCAGCCTAACGGAATTATGTTGATATCACACGAACAGATGCATTTTTCACCTCTTGCGAGATTAAAATAAAAATAGGACTCCGAAACTGTGTATTACACAACACATTATTTGTGACTCCAGGAAGGTATGTTACACTATAGTTAGCACATAGAGATCAATCAGTATACTGTACATGCTTCTCCATGATATGTCAACTCTCACATGCAGGACCCATGACATCTAACATCACAAGCGAAAGTGATAAAAACCGAAGGGTAAAATACTTTAGAAATGATAAGCTTTAAAAGTTGGTTTCAGTTTTACTAATGCGAGATTAATAGATCTGACAGAATTGTATGACTTGAGAAATTAATTTTGAAGTTGCAGTCATTTCGTGGTATCCAGTTTAGGTAGCAATATGTATTATAAATCGTGTTTTCAACCTGGAGTTGACCCACATGTAACCCAGCAACGTTTGGGAAATTAATCCAAGCCTCCAAAGTACTCTCACGGGTTACTGTAAGCTCTTATGGTGATCCACTTTGGGGTCGCTGACAGGGCACGTGTTTCGGACTGCAAGATGTCTCTGTCTCACAGCTTTCGATGAGTCGGGCTGGCGGAGCTTGCATTGACTGTACAGTAACTACCAGATGCTGAAGGAGTGAGGAATTCTGAATTGATTGCGGTGTTTCAACGCAGTCAAAGAGTTGGATTATGATACGGAGGGAGGAGCAAACGTAGCTCAGAAGAGTTACGAGGGAACGGAGGAGGAGGTGAAGGAGGAGTTCGAGGAAGGTATTTGAAAAAGCGTGTGAGTGAGTGAGTTAGTGAGAGAGTGAGTGAGAGAGAGAGAAGAAGAAGAAGAAGAAGAAGGGAAAAGGCAAGGTACAGATTGACAGTGGATTGGCGGCGGACCTGTGGGAGGATGATACGAGGGCGAATTCCATAACGTGACAGTTCAGTCACTTATCCTTGTTGAGTGTCTGCCGACGATTGATCGCTGTTTTTTGACCTGGTAGGTTCTACATATTCAAATTTTGGACAGCCTAAATTGTCACAGATTCTAGTCGGGAGTCGCTCTACTCAGAGGCACCATATTCTGAAAGAAGAAAGGTTCAATCCCTAGGGTTGCAAATGTCTCTCGAGCTCACTTGTAATTCTAAACTTCAATTTGGTTATCGAAAGTCTGTCAGCTTCGATGATTGCAGCTCGTCCCAAGTATTTGTCTTGTGGACACTGCGATTTCTTATTTGTAATCCTTCACATATTTTCCTAATGATTAGTATATGTTCTTGTACCCGATTCAAGACACTAAATTTTAGACACAGTGTTCTTGGTAAGAATGGCATGTGGCTGTCTGAACACGTGAAGGGCTCTATGGTCATTCTCTGAGCTCGAAGATCAGGGCAGTCCTTTTTGGACTTTCTTGTCGATGATCAATCCGTCTTGTGTTTATCAAACGAAAGGACGTAGCAATTTATTTTCTTCAGCTTGTTCACATTTTCTTCAGTGGAATTTTTCCTCTCCAATTTTTATAGACTGCCACATCCGCTGGTGATGCCCTTGAAGCATCCACGTCGCACTTCACAAAACCTTTGCTTTAGGCATAGATTCCGACTCTGCTTAGTTTTTTAAACTCCTCTCAATCCACAGGTCCCTTGATTATCAGTCGTTTGTGTATTTATAGAATTCACGATAGTAATCGCTTAACAGTGGTAGTTTCTGCAGGTGTCGTTAGGTCTGGTGGACTTCATAGTCTGCCATTTGACTTTCTAATGTCCCTTTTTTTTTACCAATGGAGCACTTTGGGTTTACCGTGATGTTCGTTAAGCTTGCGAAGGCGTTTTCGTCTGATCTCAGGCGTACTCTGCTTCATCAATGTTAGCATACTGTGATGAAACCCCAGCTCACAGCTCTCTTTGCAGCGATGGTATCAAATATGAAGAAAAGTTGACATCAAGTACGCTGTCTGAGTTTTGAAAGAGAGGAGAGCTGTCATATAATCTGATATTCGGTGCCGATGTGCGTAGCGATTGGTCGAAATGCGTTCGGCTGGTATTAAACGTTTCAGCGATCCCTGGATCGTTTGCGAACGGCAAGTACATTCTGGTCGATTTTCCAGGACTCGAAGATATTGAAGTTTTGAAATAAAATTTTCGAGTCAAATGGAATGATTCAAATGAAATGATTTGAGAGTCATCCTTTCTTGAACTCCTTCTCTTGGAATACTCATCCGGGGTAGATGAATCAATATTGAGAGCTCTCATTCTGTAAGCCCTTTGTGTAAGTAGGTTACAGTGAAAATTTATATTTACTTGCATGTTTCATCTTGATAGCCGAACTGATCTTTCATAGATCATTTTTATTCAATAAATTGTTGAACCCTATGCAAGTGCTCTTTGTTATCAAACTCAGTTGTTGACTGTTGCATCCTTCTAACTTCCTCTCTTTATACTGCCTAGCTCCCCTCAGTGTATAGTACTCTGTTGGTTCCCCTGCTGACTTGCACGAATTACACTTTTTTGCCGAAATATGTATTCTACTCTTCTGACATAATGAAGATGCTTTCGGTTTGCACGATCTCTGAACCTCTTGCCTTTGTTTCCTTCGTGGCTAGCGCAGAGCCTATAAAGCCTCTCCTTTTGCAATGCACATTGCACAGAGTCTACATCCCTTTGTGTTTTCTGTTCTGCCTTCTCTAAGCGTGTGGTTCACAGCGGATTAAGTCTTAGGTACGGAAGTAGTGTATGTTTGATACACGTAGTATTTTAGATCATGCCTTGTTGCTTGTAAATGTCAAGAGAAATGTACTGTTGCACATGCCAGTCGGAAGTACTCTTAATTTCCGAGTAAATGTGTCAGTAAATTTGTCTTCGATCAGGCTTATGAGCTCAATAGGTGCAATTTGTGAACAGGAGGGCAATACCATGGCGGACTCAGCCGACGATTCCTCAGTTACAACATCGGCAGATCCGGTCCCAAGTAGTACTGCTTCAGTTCCGGCACCGAACGATGTGAGTCCAGCGAAAGATGTGAGTCCAGCAGAGACTCCAAGTAGTACTGCTTCAGTTCCGGCACCGAAAGATGTGAGTCCAGCGAAAGATGTGAGTCCAGCAGAGACTCCTTCAAAGACGGACAAATCCGAGATGCCCACTAAACCTAAGTGGGGGGATGATGATTATGGAGATGGAGACTTGTCATTGCCTCCCCTTGCTGGTCTAAAAGTTGACGATGATGCTGGGGACGTAGATCGCCCAGAAGTGGTCTTGAAATCTGACAAGTTAGATGAATCTATTGAGTTCCCTGAAACGGAGATAAAAAAGGTGCGATGTTTCCCTGTTCATGAGAGTTCAAACGCAGATGGGATGTTCCCTTAAAGTTTTGGATTTGGTAACCTTTGATATCTCTTGAAGAACACTAATTTGTCTGAATACAGGTTACTGCCGACGACACCCCGTATTCTTCAGCCAAGACTTTTGAGGACCTAAACCTTTCCCAAGCCCTGCTTCAGGGTTTGTATTCGGAAATGAAGTTTGAAAAGCCTAGTCGAATCCAGGCGGAGACTTTGCCGATGATTTTGATGCCCCCGTATCGAAATTTAATTGCGCAAGCGCACAATGGATCAGGGAAGACTACTTGTTTTGTGTTGGGAATGTTGAGCCGAGTCGATGCAAGCGCCAAGTATCCTCAGGCATTATGTGTGTGTCCGACGCGCGAATTGGTCATCCAGGTACCGGTTTTTCAGCATTGTCTGTATGCCATATCTTTCATATTTTGGAAATTCTTGTCATACTTACTGAAACGCGTTGCAGTTCAGAAGTGTCGACAGTCAACAGATCAAAACACTCCACCTCCTTGTAATATCGGGCTGATGGAAAGAGTTTGTGTCAATCTTTTAAGAACGTTTGGTAACCGAAATTGGATGATCGCAAGTGGAAGAATTGCATTTCGTATATACTTTAGTTCAGCTCTTCCTCTTTTGAGTTTTGAAAACCGGAAGTATCTCATATGTTTTCGTCACAGTGAGCATGACTTCATGTTTGGCATGAACGACAGAACGAAGAAGTTTTACTGAAAATGGGGAAGCACACTGGTATAACTTGCGCCAGCACAGCTGCAATTTCTGAGTCCACCTCTGTATCAGCTTCTAGACGAAGCCAAATAACTGACCAAATTATCATTGGTACACCTGGTACGCTTAAGCGGTGGATGACCAGGGACAAGATTTTGAACACCAGGGGTATCAAAATTCTTGTATTTGATGAAGCCGACCACATGCTGGATCAGGTACCTTTTATCGCCTAAACTTTGATTAGGAGCTCAATGTTTTTCGGGGATGTGTAGGATGTCCTTTTTGACAGGTTGTCGCACCTTATGCGGTCATTTTTGAAGATAATCGGATCGGGTTTGCTAACTGTCTGAGCATTTTCTACAGGATGGTTTCCAAGACGATTCCATGAGAATTATCAGGGATATTAAGCAAGCTAAAGCAAGTTGTCAAGTAAGTATGCTTATTGCCTGATGTGAACCCGGACTTGAGATAGTGTCCTGGATATTTGAGTTCCTGCTTGTTCGTCTGCGGCGTAGCTGGCGCCATCCGATATTTTTTGTGGAGGTGTTTCGGATGGAATCTCTGTAGATATTTTGAATTCCTCTGAGCATCTTTCAATCACTCTGCAGTAACAAATTTTAACGAAGTCGAAACACCTTGTCGTGGAACTGTTCTGAAGCTGTTGGCACACATGTGTAATTCTGAAGTGATATGTGAGGCTTTAAAGTCACCTCTCATGCCCAGGGATTTTCTAGATTTGAAGCAATTGTAGGAACAGCCCACTTTATCTCGTTTGTATTTGTTTGAACAAATGGTCTGTTCATCTCCGCAGATTTTGCTCTTTTCAGCGACATTTAGTGAGAAAGTTAAGGCATTTGCGGAGAAGACCATTCCTACACCGAACCACATCTTCGTCCCAAAGGAGTCCCTCTCCCTAGATGTTATCAAACAATATAGAGTGAGGTGTCCAGACGTTGACTCCAAAGTGTCTGTTCTCAAGGACAGAATATTCCCCGCAGCAGAAAAATTAGGGCAATCAATTATATTCGCCCGTACTCGTCAAAGTGCCAGCGACTTGCATAGAAAACTCGAACAGGATGGCCATAAATGCACCAGCATCCAGGGTGGACTATCGCACGAAGACCGAGATCGGGTGATAAAGGAGTTTAGATCAGGAGAGACTAAGATTCTGATCGCGACCGATTTGCTAGCCCGTGGATTTGATCAAGCGCAGGTATGAACATCTCGAGGACTTTCCTTGATGTTTTTCGTTTGTTTAGAGGCGGATTCTAGTTTGCAAGCTCTTGCCCAACTTATCAAAACTTACCTGTTTATACACACTTGACACACTATACTTCAAGTGTGTTTAAACACGAATAGTTTTGATAAGTTGGGCTAAATCTTGTTGCGAGCATGTGATTTCCAGGTTTCCTTACGAGCGTAGGAAACCATGCTAGGCTTTGGATGTTTGATTGGTGATTGATGAGGTGTTCATTGATGAGTTTTTAATTTGAAAATGATATTGTTGATGATTTTGTACAGGTGACATTGGTTGTAAACTACGACATTCCAATCAAGAACACATATCCATTCGATCCTGATTTTGAGCTATACTTGCACAGGATCGGTAGAAGTGGACGATTCGGCCGCAAAGGTAAGTTCTGTGATATATTTGTTCAGCCTTATCTAACAATTCATATGTTCTACACTATGAACTCTAGAAGGCTCACGGTAGGTCTCTCACTCCTTCGTTGTTTGTGTTGTTGGACCTGATATATCTTCGTCGAACTCTGTACTTGTTCTTGCACCGTCAATCCTAATCTAATACCAACCAGAAAGTACTAACAATATTTGAATTGAAGCTAACACATTCAGATCTTCAGGATCATTATTACTTGTTTACTAGAACTTCCCCTGTCACAAATCGCAGGTTAAGGACTTATTTTAACTGAAAATACCGCTCCAAGTTCGTTCTTCTTAATCTGGTTCAAGGTCCTACAGTTTGACCTCAGTTAGTAGACGTGTTTGTCAACTGTGTAGATGCCTGTTTGAATTCACAGACGCGTATGCATATGTTTCAATTTATTCCTCGCTCAAAGCGGACCTTCGCACAGACCGTGCGCCGTATTGCTTAATATCATGAATCTCATTGTGGCCTCTTCTTTATGGGCATATAACTAAATGCTGGAAGTAGTGAGGTAACCTAGTCATCAGAGTTCTGATTATTGAATCCTAGCTTCTTTCGCGGTTGCTCATTGCCTTCATGACTTCCACGATGATCACTGTCTTGATTTTTTAAGAATCCCTTGGAAACTACTTTGAGAGTTTACCGTAAGCTCAATGTGATGTTGGTTTTTGCTCTCACTACTCCCATGACAGTCACCGTCCTGTGTGACCAGGATAGTGTTCAAATTTAAGTAGACTTTTCTCTAGTCTCGCGTATTTATTCCATGAATGTAGTGCGATATTTAGTAAGAAAGGACAAGGGATGAACATGCTTTGAACTGAATTTTGCAGGTGCTGCATTCAATCTCATGTCGAATGAGAAGGATGAAAAGAATGTCGATCGAATTGAAACGCATTTTAAAAGAGTCATCCCTGAGGTTAGGCCACACATTATGTTACGTATAGTCCGAGCACTTCATCGCATTGTTTGCCTTGTTTCTCAAGCTGCAAAGTGGAAACGTTTGCGCATCTTGTATTTTCTTCTTCATTCTCTTTCATGACATTTGATGGTAGTGACTGGGTTCTTTGGAAAAATTCCGTATATGATATGGCATTTAATTTCAGTTCTATGTGGAAATCCCGTGTTCATCTCTTTTGTATTTTTTCTTGCTCAACTCTGGGTAGTTTCGAGTTGGGTTGTAGCAGCGGGTGTGTCTCTCTTTGAGGAGAGCTCTTTCAACTTGACAGCCTAATTGTTATTTGAAACGAAATCCCTGGTGTCTTATGTTACTAGTCAATATTGGTAATCTGACTTATATTCATCATAGTTGCACCATATAGCGCCTGACGAAGTCGAGATATTTGTGTTGCTAGGTACCTTGGGATGATGATGATGCTTTTGAGACAATTCTGAAGGATGCCGGTCTAGCTTAGATGGAACCCATCAGACGGTGTGTCAAGGACACGCATGAACAACGAACATTTCCACTTTCTCGTCACTCGTTCCTGTCTGCTAGTGGCAGGCACATGGATTGTATATTTGATATGTTAATGGTCTTCAGGCCTCAGCAGATCTATTGGGCATTTGTAGTTATCTTCAGTGTTGACGTCTATGTCACACTTAAAGTTTCTGTGAGACCGAAATAGTCGAGCGTCTTTCAACCAACTCCCCAGCTTGTCTGCCCCTAAAGCTGTTTTGTTGCCCTCGCTGGGATGGAACGACGTCGATGGTGTCAAATCGAAATTGGCAGTTGAGTTGGGCACTTATGCAGTACAAATTTGGTGTCGCTGCTCCTTTTTGTAGTGTTTTTGCTAGGTTAACCGAGAAGATGATCGGACACATAGTGACTTTACATTGAGTTTGATCTCCAAGTATCACACGATGTCAGACTATGATTCAACGTGTTGACTTCTGACTTGAATTTGCGGAGGTTATTTCCTCGAGTCATAAATCAGATTCCTGAGTTTTATGAGTTTGTTGGGGAACGTGTCGCAATCTTGTCCTTGGGAATTTGAGCAACTCTTCAGGCTTCAGGCTCTTAGTTTCCCATTCATCGTGTTCTTCTTAAGCTCGATGAGTTATCGAGCACCGAAACGTCATTTAGTGAGAAAATTTCACTAAGTGTATCTTTGATCGTCTCAATTTTGACTTTATTATCATTGAGGATGTTTCTACGATATGTTTAATACTCGTTACCACTTTCGTTATAATGCTCTCCCACCTGTTGTGGCCAAAAATTTTCAAGCTGAATTGCCCAAATGCCGTTGTTTACCGCATTCGTGCTTTCACATCCGTCTCCATAAAGTCGTACAGTCCATTATCTCTTCCTATCCAAGTGATCTACGTGTGTATATCGTCACAGGTGTACGGCTATGGTCACACTGTTGAAGCCCATGCTGACGAGGGCGAGGAATATCTTTCGAGAGGCCGATGGAGATCCCACCGTGATCGGAACGATTCTTCGGATGGTGATGCGCATGAGTTCGTCACCATATTCATAGACTAGTGCGAAATATTCTCGTGGGGGTTTCGAACTGTCTCGAAGACTAATTCGTTCTTGTCTGGTTGGTGTTTGTGTTTCACTCCAAAGCATCATAATATCATGGGGTTGTGAGTTTGCAATGTATTCACCTCCACTCCTTACTTGACTCAGCGTTACCCATACGATGTTAATGAAGTAATTTGGTCCATGCGGTGTGCTGCTTTAAGTTTTGAACGTACTGTCGTGGAGAGCGATCCCAACACAAGAGAACACACTGATTTGATATATTCATATCTAGTTGGGCGAGCGGAATGTTTGTCTCAGATCTGAATACGCCAGTCTTCGCAAGTGTGATAGTCGCTTCTTAAGTATCACCGCAAGCGGGAATACTTCTTCCCTCACGGATTTGAGTGAGAATGGCTCTTTCCACACACATTCGTGGTAACCCCAGTAGCTGCAGGTTCTGAACGCTCCACTGCATCCTACTTATATGACGATCGAAGAAGAGTTTTCTTGGTGTCCGTCCACTGTGCGGGGACTTCTGTCCCCATCTGTTTGGATACAAATCAGCAAGAAATCTTTTCTGTACATTGTCGAGTTTACAAAAGCATGATATGCTACCGAATTGATTCCAACGTATCGTGGATGTATGCGGTTGAGGACAAGGGCATCTTCGTTCTATGGAGCCAATGTGAGAATGGGTTTTGGTGGCTTGAAAGGTGCTCAACCAAGTCAAGGTGAATAGCTTTACACCAGAAACTCTATACACAGGTCACATTCTAGCTACAGTCAAAGCACCAGAGGCGTTTGTACTGGAGTAAGGATTCAGGCCAACAATTAGGAGTGTGTGGTCAATGAGTCGTTCTAGCTTACTTCTCATGGGGAAGAGTTCCTGTGGCCGAGGTGCAATCAGCTTCCGTGGTTCCGTGCTTTTGCATGCAACAACGAGCACAAGGAACAAGGGCGATCGAGCCCAAACACAGAGCGCCACGACCAGCTGCTCACATCAAGCTTGAGGAGGCGGTCCTCGCTATGAGACACATGCAACGCTGTGCAGATCAGAGAACACAGCATTAGCGATAGCAGCAGCAGCGGCAGCAGAAAGGTCGATGTGTTCATTGACTGCGTTCAACAACTTTATGCCTTTTGTTAAGGGGTTTGCAAAGCAGGGACGAAAGGGGATGCAGGCAGTTCACATGTTGGTAGAACAACATAGTATTGAGTTGGTAACCAGGAGCCGCTCGCCAGATCAGACTCAATGCGAAAGAGGAGCACTTTTTTGGCTTACTTGTAAGCACAGAGGCCCCACAGGACCAAAAGAACGAACAAAGTGCTCTGCCTGTCTTTCCACGTACCGCTCTAGGACTCGCTCGAAGTAGCTAGCCTCTCTGCATGCATCTCGGTTGCAGAGCGACATTCAACCTTGAAGCTGGAATTTGGATTTCGTTCTGATGCAGGCGGGCGTGTCTGTGGTGAAGTCACCGCCCCACGAAAATAACTAATCAGATTCTGGCCTCAGAGAAGGCGCTCGGTGTCTCTTTCTTTTTCTCTCACGAGTCCTCAGGCCAGCAGGACTGCCTCCGAGGATGATGAAGCACGAGCATCTTCCGAGTGATCCAAATCGGTGCACATTTCCGCTGAAAGTCGGTCGGTCGGTCGGATCGCACGATCCCAGCTTTGTCATGCCCTGTCCAGCTGGCGCATCCCATCTCCTCACTTCAACTTCACTTCACTTCACTTCACTTCATCTTCGACGACGGTGGATTAGGCCAACAGTCTCGCCTGCGTTCGAAGATGTACACCAGCACGATGTGCCTTCTCCCATCTTCGTCTCTCGAAAAGGGAATAGGGCTCCTCCGATTGGACCCGAGCACAAAGCGGAATTAGGCGAGCCTGACAAGAAAGAAATTATCGTCCAGTTCTAGAGGAGATCGATCGGTGTCTCTCTCGCGAGGGAGGGAGGGAGGTCGGTCGGTCGGTCGGTCGTCTTGAGTCAAATGAGATCTGAAAGTTCTTTGTCCGATCAAGCAAATCGATTAACCGAAAGCTCAGTCAATCCCAGCCAAGCCAAGCGATAGGACAGATCGGGATAGAAAGCAGACACGGCCACTCACCCATACCCAACACCCTGTGTCTTGTTGGTACCGTTATACGAACCATGCGAGGAAGGGAGCGAGGAAGGGGGGTGGCGGGTGGCGGGTGGCGGGGGGCGGAGCTGAGATCGCTTTCTCTGACTTCGCCTGTACATGCTTTTCTTTCATCAGATCATGGCGCAGGCGGAAGTTTCTCGCTCTGTAGTGCTGTGAACCTACCATGCTCCTCCGTCGTAGCTTCCGCTTTTGCCCTTCGCTTCCTTCCTTCCATCCACACGGCCTGGTGCGGCCGGGGACTCTCGAAGGCCGAATTGCTTCGAGGGCCGCATAGATTTCAGAGCGTAGAGCTTCATTCGGTAGATTCGGAATGTTCTTTCTCTCTCTCTCTCTCTATATATATATACATGTGCGAGGGCCTCGAGGCTGTTTTGTTTGTTTGTTTGTTTGATTGATTGATTGACTGATTGATTGAATGTATGAAAGAAAGAATGAATGAATGGCCTCGAGGATTTTCCTCTTCTCTCCGAACGAGTGGCTACGAGGAATGTACTGTGAGTAACTCTCACCAGAGCAAGGGCAAGGGCAAAGGCAGAGGCAAAGGCAAAGGTGAAGGCAAGGCCAGTACGAATTGATGGCTCCAGGTGATTAGATTGGAATTTTGTCTGGGCCAAGCCTCAGAAATCCATCTTTTGCCCCTCCGGAAATAGAGCACCACCACCGCATAGATCCCCGTCCTCGTCCTTGGCCTTCGCCCGACCGCCAGGCAGGCAGGCAGACCGACCGAGGAAACAAAAGGCGAGCGCCAAAAACGACAAGAACCGAAGGGCCAAAAGACAACCCCCCGGACGTCCTTTCCTCGAAGGAACAAAGAAAGACAACAAGGAGCTGGAATCGCACATGTGCTCTCTGGCCTGCCCTGGCCTTGCCTTGCCTTGCCTTGCCTTGTAAAGGCCATTTTCTAGTTTCAGATCGGGGCTGGGCTGGGGATGCATGTTGTCAAAAACGCCATGGACTTTAGCTTTAGCTTTAGCTCTGGCGAGACAAGAGCACAACGAGATTGAGATTGTGAGAGAAAGAGCAAGAAAAGGCAATGAATAATAAGTCCTGCCGGTCCGATGAGTGCATGGAATATATTCTTGAATTATTATGATATATTCTCGAAACTTGCTATTATTCCGGAGGAACGAGGCAGGACAGGGAAGGAAAGGAATGGAAAGGAATGGAGGTCGAGCAAACCGCACTTGAAAAGAAGGAAAATGTCTCCCTCCTTTGAATTCTCTCACTATGCTTTGTCAACAGATTTCGGCACTTTTAAGAAAAAGATCGGAAAGTCCAAGAACGTCAAAAGTTTAGAGGCTTGAGGAACATGTATTGCTTTCTTACTCTGCGACCTTGCAGAGAAATTACTGTATCCTTCTCTTCTTTAGGATAAATATTTGCTTAAAGTGAATGTTCTAGAACACCTTTGGCAGTATATGTGCCACACTATTGCTACTAGCAGATTTCACTTTTATCTTATGGGAACTGTCGAATATTATGCTGGACTAGTGGATACCCGTGACCTTCGGATTCTGTGAAGTCATCCAATTGGCCGTCAAACTCAATCATAACCTTAATTGGTGTCACATATGTCGTGCCTTTCATGGTCATGATTTATCAATGGCTTTACAACATGAAACGCGTGCTAATTCTAACCATGAAGGAGTACGACCATCAGACTTCCGAAGGAAAGACACTCAAAATAATTATATATATATGTCTCTGCAACATATTTCTTTAAAAATCATGACAATCTAAACCATCGAGCTCTTATAAATGTGATTTGTTCGCGTTAAATATTTTACAAATAACATTATTGGCTGGGACCAACAAAATTCATTTTATTCGATGGTGCTTCCACAACGACCTGCAACCCATCGTCACTCATGTTCTTGTAGCCCAATAGTGTGAGGAAGAGACTTTGCCTATCGGGCCAAAGTACAAACACTTCAACCTCATGTTAGAACTATTCCCATGAAAACCTACAAATGATTGTCGGGACGAAATGCAATTTAGAACGCCCAGCCGGGTCATAAAAATTCTCATACATACCTTGACATTGACAAACTGAATCTGAAGTCGCCTTTTTTTTTCTCTTCCCTCGTTCCTTCTCGTTGTTCTGATCGTTTAGAGAGTTCATTTCAGCTATCAAATTTGTGAACTCGTTGCAACTATCGAAATTGTGAGCTTGTTGCGTTCTCCGCAGATTTCGTTTTGATTTTCAAACAATCTCGTTTGTGGATAGCTCGTTGGTGTGTTCTAAATGTTTTCAACTTTTTCTAAGGAGAGTTCGCAAAAGCTCCATTGGATATGGCTATGTATGTCTTGTTAGGTATAGACTATACTCTGATAACCAATCCCTACAATGGATTGTAGGGATTGGAACATAGGTGACGGTGGACCATATGACCTTCGTGAGTGGTTTTATCGGGTAAAATGAATCGTGTTGAATCCTAGTAAGTGTTTTGAGTCCCGCAAAGATCTAATCAAATTTTTTCCTCTTTAGTCTACAAGATTCAATATACAAGTATATTTTCTTTCTTTATATCTTTCTAAAAAATAATATCCATCCAATTGTAGATCTAAATTCCTTCTTTCAAGTTTCACTTTTGATTATAGATCAAGTAGAAAGAGACACATAGATATAACAAATCATGAGTTTTTCAATCTTAAATCCAT